TCCTGCCTAGCTCTAGTAGCGAAGGTTGGATTACAGCCTTTATTAAGTATTTGAAGGTCGTTAGCTAGGAGAAATTCTAAAAGTAACTCACCTCTTTTGTTGGTATCAGTACTTCCCCAGATTGTGTGATGGGCGTTTGCATCGCAGCCAACAATTAGTTCTGTCTTGTGTTTTCGAGCGTAGTCGACGACTTTAGACAGTTCTTCGGTGGGGTTGGCTTTCTCTCCGGGCAGGTAGGCCGAGCACACAAGTGCTCTAGTTTGACCACGCCCTCTGAGAACGGTGATTGCAGCAACGGTGTCATCACTGCAAAGTTCTGTAACAGGCAAGAAATTAATACCTTTCTTAAAAACGATACAGGCCCTAGGCTTGGTGCCATTTTCGTTTGCTAGGATCTTACCTACTCCATTTAAGCCCGAAATCTTGGACTTGGCGTTAAGCCATGGTTCCTGGACCAGCGCTATATCCATGCCATTTGCCCTAAAAGTGTTTTCTGCCACGGCTGTGGCAGCGATAGCGTGGTGTAGATTGGCTTGGAGTATTTTAGTGGGGGCGTCGCCAGTTGGGTGTGAAGCGCTACTGGGGACGGGCCCCATTGCGCTTGTCACTGCCCTTGCTGGGTCTGGGTCCCTTTTGTTTGCGGGGGCGCTGGCTCTTGCCTCTGGGGGTTTGTCCACCCCTGGTGTGCCCCCCTGTACGAGGAAACCTGTGCGGAGTACCAGTCGCTCCGCTGGTCCCGGCCACAGGAGCCACGCCAGGTGCAGCAGATGGTAAAGGCGCAGCAACGCTGGCGCTTGCTCCAGCAGCCGCGGCCCCAGAACGAGAGGTAGACGGCACAGGTTCAGAGGGAAGTGTCCCAGGATTCGTTGGCGTCTGGTTGATGCCCTTAATACGGAACTGGACCGATTTGAAAGCCAAGTAGGCCTTCATGCCGGTTTTTTGAAGGGTCTCAACAGATTGGTCGTCGATGGAGAGGGTGAGTGTGATCCCGCCCTTCTCCGCCTTCCTATTGAGAACCTTCCACAGCTCCGTATTAAGGCCATCATTTTGTATCCGGAGACAGGAGAGCGCCTTATCAACGTCTTTGGCCTCCGGATCGGGAATGTATACCACCCCAACCCTTGGTTTGGGCAAGTCGCTCTCATTAATGAGAGCGAGCTTAGCTCCTGGCCACGGCTGTAAGGAAGGTATACATTTCTCAAGCCATTCCCTGGCATGCTGGTTAGCACAGGTGATGAGTAGCCAACCTGGCTTGAATGATAGTCCGCCAAAGGCAGGTCCCTTACCCTTCTCCAAAGTGGTGATTTGGGCCACAATTGCGTTGTAGAGTGACTGCAGCTGTGCGTCAGTCATGGGAGTGGAGTCCCTCACGCCAACTTTGGAGGAAGATAAGGCCGCACTATAGGCAGCTGGAGGTGGTGGGGCCGACGGTGCTTCGCTCGACCTTTGGGACTTCCTCGCTGGTTGTCCCTGTGGTGATTCCTCCTCCGAGCGAGTCCTTTTGATGGAGCGCTCGGATTCGGGTTTCGAAGCCTCGAAACGATACCCCATAGCCCTGAGTTCCGCAAAGGTTTTAGCGGACAGTTCGTAGGCTTTTGCAGCCTCCACTCCCTGTCCCCTAAGAGCCTTAAGTCGGATTAAGGCTGCCCCACTCAATCTTTTGCGTTTGGGTCGGGCAGCATCAGAGGAGGTGGCAGCAGGGTTACCAGTAGGTGATTCAGGGCTTGTAGAAGCCCCTATCGCCATTTCGGTGCCTGCAGTCACCTCCATTGGTTGCGCTGACATTTGGGCGGTTTCATCCGCACCCATTGTCAGCGGCATGAGGTCCTGGCACAATTCGTCCAGGGTTTGTGACGTGGTAACGTCATTTACTTTTTTATCTTTTTGGTCCATATTCATTCAGGTCCCACGAGTAGCTAGGGAAATAAAAATGCCCACCGACAGAGCCCCGCATGTCGATGGGAGGACTTAAAATACTACCCGATTCGTCCAGGTGTCGGATAGCCACCGTTAGCGACTGAGCTCCCCCCCAGCCACGCATCCCTCGGCACGGTACGAATAACACCTTGGATTGGGTTCTAAACTAAAGCTATACATATACGTACATATATATTTCATAGATACACTTACATAGACATACATAAACATACATATATAAATAAAAGTGAAAACAAGCGCTCGGTGTTTTCTGTTGCGTCTATTTCCTAGTGAACTAGACCAATAACAGGGCTGGCAACCTCGTGAAGGATAGTACACCGAACTTGCCTTGGGGATCTTTGCGACAAAAGCGTCACTCTCCCCCAAGACCAACGCCACCCTACCGTCTCTGAAGGAGACAGTAGGGTAGGCCTGCGCCTACACTACCATGCGAAGCATGTCGTAAGGGAACCGTGAAAGCATAGATCCAGGCCCGCCCCGGGGTGGTTATGTGGAGACTCTCCGGCTAATGAGACCGGCATACCCACTAAAACCCAACTTTCCCCCTCTGCCGCCACGTGGGGCGCCACGGGATCGCTCTCGCATACAACCGCGACGCCCCGACGGTTGGCCGAAGCCACCAACCATGAGGCCGCCCCAAGCGGGACAACCCCATTATGGGAAGACTTACAACCCAAAAAGTGAGGCCGCTCCTAAGTCCACTCTGCTGATCAGAGAAGTACCCGGAGCAGCCCCACACCACACAAACACCGCCCACCGAAGTGGGCCACCTCCAATCGGCTGCAGAGGACAGGGAGAGCGGCAACGAAACACCGACACTCCTCTTCCTCTGCAGCCCCACCGCGTCCGCCATCAAACGGTGGCGGCCCCGTCTAGGCCGCGGAAGGTAGGGAGAACGGCGTACCGAAATACCGGCACTCCTCTCCCGCCGCGGCCTACCCCTCCGCCGAATGCGGGCCTGCGACCACAGTCCTGCAATCGGCACCCATCATCCGGTTGTGGGACCAAGCGGTCCCACCACCGGTGGCCGCAATGTCTTCGGCTCGAGACCTAGACGAGCGGCCCCATCCAAGCCATTTGGTCCGCGCCGGATTTCTCCGGTACCACCCGCCCCTCTAAGCGGGTGGCATGCCCCTATCCGCCACCTGGGGACGCGGCCGGTAGGAGTTGGCTTCTCCCCCGGGACCCCCGAGGTGTCAGTTAACAATAGATTTCTTAGAATTTTAATTAATTTCTTTGAAATTACCTCGAGGGATTAATCTATAATAATCTATACTAGTATTATAAGAGGTAATGTTTGTGAGTTTGTGACGTTGTAGGAGGTAATTTCTGGATCTACTAAACTGATTTAGATGAAATTTTTGTAAGAAGATAGTTTGATAACCTGGGAAGGACGTAGGATACTTTTTATCCCGGAAATCATCCCTTAAGGGGGGAGAAAATGGGGATGAAAATTTGTATTGGAAAGCAAGCTAGAGACGAAGTCGCTAGTCATTACATAAAGTAGAAATGTTTGCTTTTTGTGTTTTTTGAACATGTTAGTGTTTTGAAATACCAGACCAATATGAAAAATATCGCATTTTACAAGCTATTGAACATGCGACCCTTACGAGTAGGGCAATTATAGGTACACAAATGAACTATCACAACGGACCCGCGGGCAAAACTGTTAATAACATAAATGTGAAAATGTGTTTTTTAGTTTGTTTATTGGTTCTTATTTCATGTAAAATAATTAAATAACGGATCCATGTGATTTTTTATATAGAAATAAATTGTACACTGAAATATTAAGCTAAATTTTGTACTACTGCTCTAATCTAAGGCTATTAGAACTCAAAATGCTGCCCTCCTTTTTTACAGTCTTTCCAAAACCATAACGGTTTTAAACTTTTCTATTTATAATTAATATTTATCATTTAGTCTTAAAAAAATTCTTTCGATACCTATCGTAGAGCCAATAGAAATAAATACTTTGACCGAGAACCGAACGCGCTACCAAAGTTAAAGGTCTCGTAGCCACTGCGCCACGTAGCCAATAAAAAATTTTAATCCAAGAATAAGTGAGCATAGAAAATAAATGTTATTCATAGTGTTGTTTTGATGAATAATAATGATGATTTTATGACATTCAATTTATAACTATAGTGCTATGAAATGAAATTGAATTGAAAAATAGTTTATTAGGTACTTTATTTATATTGCATTACTCTGTAACCACATAAAAAAGCCATAAATATAGTTAGTACTAAAAATAAAGTAAAGTGAGACGATGAAGACAATAATAAAAGTTTCCGAAAAAAAAAATTTGATTATTCGATTATTATACGTCGAAAATTTTTTTGTGATGGATGATATTGTTTCTAATAAAATCTTTTATCTGAGTCTTAATAAAATGAACCGTAAAACGTAAAAAATGAGGCCGACGCGTATTTTATTTAACATATACGGCTGTGATATTTGAACCGAGAGTAATGTAGTTTATTTTTATAGAGTGATACATACTCACTCCTAAATGTAGCATTTAAATTCGTTCTTCGAATATTATTGGTGCTATATCCATAATTAGAGGTAGTGGTAGCCCAGTTGGTAACGCGCTCGCTTTGGAAACTGAGTGAAGCGGGTTCAAATCCCGGGTCTTGCACTTCTGATATTTTCATGTGCGAATCATTTCTAACATGATTAAAACTTGCCTTACGGTGAAGGAAATCTGCATGTCTGAGAGAACCTAGCAAGTTTTCAAAAGACATGTGAAGTCCGCCAACACGCACTTGGCCAGCGCGGTGGACTATAGCTTGATCCCTCTTGTATCGAAGGGGACGTTAAAAAGGGCTGAATACTACTCGTTTTCAACACATAGCGTGAACGACTATCGATCTCAGATCTTCCAAAAGCTTGCACTTGTTGCACGCATGAAATTAGTATGGAATCGTCATAGATTTGTTGAAATTAATGTATTAGCTTTTGTTATAGATATCAAATAAATTACGTTATCACTACGATCAGATTCACCGTTTGTCTTCAAAAAGCTGATATAATTTGTCAATTTTTCTTGTTCTTAGAGTCATTGCTGCAAAACCACGGGTGAAGGTCATGAGAGTGGCAGCCCGGAGAACGAGCGTCAGCCTGGCGACGGTGCCAGTTGTACTATCGCTGATGAGCAGGTAATGTTACTTACATATAATTAAAAATAAAATTTAATTTGTCTATCAAATTAATCAATACTAATATTATACATGTAAGAGAAGGGTTGTCGGAAGGATTCAAACCACCATTAGCTTCCATATTTTTATTCTATAACACTGAAACATACACTTATTTATTAGATTATTTCATAACAATAAAATCGATAATAGCGATCTCAAGCAATCATTAAAGCTGATATAAATAACAAAACAACTTATCTTATATGAACAACTGCATTAATTAATAAATAGATTCAAATTCATTTACTTGTAAAAAGACACAAAATTATAAAGAAAACTTTTAAATAAAATAAATTTCATTAAATTACAATTCCTTTTAAAAAGATATTTAATTCAATAAACTCATAATTTAAAACAAATAATATTCAAATAAACTAACATTTTACTAAAATAACTATATAATTTTAATATAATTATCTAGCCTTCAAATAATTATCAATTTGGGCAGAGCTTTCAGCTAGAGAGCTGACAAACGAATGTGTCACTCTACGATGCAATCCGACTTTTATATTAAAATATAAGAGTGGGGCGACAGATAATAATAATCGATTAAACATCAATTTTTCTATAAATCATCGATTAAATGCTCGCGCCGATACGGCCATACTGACATCAGGCGCGTCCCTGCGTCTATGATTAATTTTCATCTGGAAAAATAAAATAATCAGTTAATTTACCTTAATAAAAATCCTAATAGCTAAGCACAAAAATCTAAACACATAACTATCTCGTAGCAACCACATAAAAATGATTAATTAATCTTAAAATCTCTATGACCTCATAGCCTCAGCGCTAATTTTGGTCCAGCCTCAGAGCCTCGGCGCTCATTTTGGCTTTCTCGTAAAACACATGCACCACGTAACAATTCACATTATAAAATTAATAAACTCACTAACTTTAGTATTGCTTTTCGTCACATATTTTACCACTTTGTCTTATACACATTTCACACATGTCATAAGCACTGTCACACATCACATTATTCTTCATCAAGACTTCTATTCATCGCCGATACGGCCACATCACTTTGTACACTAAACTTTGGAGCACTGCGTAGGTTTTCATGACATACTTTCCTTGATCGGCCACGGTGATTACTACGACGAATTTCGTACCGATCATGCGGCAACACCTTTATCACCTCATATGGCCCATCGAATTTTTGGCTCAATTTTGTACCAAGTCGCATTGGTTCTTTTATTAAAACATATTCTCCCTTCATGAATCTTTTTACTTTTGCTTTCCCGCTATCATAACGTATTTTGTCCCTTTCAGCCTGCTCGGCCATTCTTCCAATGATAATATCTTTCATAGCCTCTGGATTTATTCGTTCATTTTCATCATCAATAAGATTCAGTAGTTGTGGGGGTACACATCCTTTCTTGCCTGTTAATAATTCTATTGGAGTTTGTCCTGTCGATTTTGAAAACGTACAGTTTATTGCTAACTGTAAAGCTCCGAGCGACTTTTCCCAATGTGCTTTCTGGGTATTTTTGATAATCGTAAGGCCGTTTTTTATGATTCTCATAACTCTTTCAACTTGTCCATTCCCTCTACTTGTGTATCCAGCACATTGATGTAATTCTATTCCATATTCTTGACAAAAAGCTTTATAGTGGGAAGTAAAAGCACCATCGCCATCAACTATTATTCTTTTAGGAGCTCCAAAGAGGAAAACCACTTCCTGCAGATGCTTCAGAGCGTTAGATTGATTTTTATTGTTGGCATACTGTAATATAACAAATTTGGTGTAAGCGTCAATTGCTACAAATACGTATTCTTTTTGGGCTGCAGCTCCACTGAGTTTCCCTGAGATATCTATATGTATCGTGTGAAATGGTTCTGCTATTTTTTCGAGTGGATGTAGTCGGCTCTGCGAAGCTCCGGAGGGTCCTTTCATAGTCTTGCAAATAATGCAGTGCTCAACAAAGTATCTTACTACTGTTGACATTTTAGGAAACCAGAAGTTTTCTTTAAGTTTCGCTAGAGTTTTTTCCCATCCCATGTGTTTGAGTGCTTCATGGTAAGTGTTAATAAGACTCCATTGATAAGACTGCGGTACAACTTTAACGAGTTTCATTTTGCCATTTACATTCATTTTATAATATAAAATGTTATCCTTGACTTCATATTCGACATTCACGGCATTATTTTTAGAAAGATCTTCAATAATTTTGCTTAACTCAGGATCTCTTCGTTGTTCCATTACTAACCAATCATCTTTAGTGCTTAAATTCATGACAACTTGTAGAGGATTACGGCTGAAAAAATCAGCGTGCTTAAGTTTTTCTCCTTTTCGATACTCCACTTCAAAATCGAAGTTTTGTAAGAACGCCCACCATCTGTAAATTCTGGGAAGTAACTCTTGTTTATAACGTGATGCTTTAACAGCGTTACAATCAGTTACTATTGTAAACTTCCTTCCGTAAAGGAAATGCCGAAAATGCTTAATAGCTCTGACAATTGCGAGCGTCTCAAGCTCGTAACTATGATATTTAGATTCAGCAGGTGTTGTTCTCATGCTAAAGTAGCCAATGACACGTCGAACACCTTCATGTGACTGTATAAGAACTGCTCCGAGTCCCATGGCGCTAGCGTCCGTGTGGAGTTCGATGGGATGTCCTTCCTTGAAAATGGTTAGCAAGGGTGCAGACGTTAGGTAATTTATAATTTTTGATCTTACACTTTCATGTTCAGCTGTCCATTCCCATTTCACATTTGATTTAGTCAAATTGTAGAGAGGTACCATTTCTGTGGAGAAGTTTGGTATAAAACGCCTAAAATAACCTGCCAAGCCATTAAATTGTCTGAGCTGCTTGACGTTCTTTGGAGGCAGCGATCTCGCTAACGCTTCGACTTTAGCTGGACTAGGTCTCACTGTACCATCACAAACAATAAATCCAAGGTATTCGACCGAGGTTTTAAGAAATGAACACTTATTAAGTTTAATTGAAAACCCTGCTTTAGTTAAAGCCTGTAATACTCTTTCAAGTTTCTGTAACCCTTCGGCAACTGTCTTACTTGGTATCAACACGTCATCCATATAAACAAGAGCGTCTTTCCCCCTTAAATCTCCAAGAGCCTTGTTTATTGCTCTTTGGTAAACAGATGGTGCATTCGTTAAACCAAATGGCATTGTTAAATATTCATATTGTCCATCAGGTGTTATAAAAGCGGTTTTTTCTATTGATTCAGGAGACAAAGGGATCTGATGGAATCCAGCTGCCATGTCAAGGCATGTGAAGTATTTTGCTTCGGCTAATTGATCAAGTTGCTCGGTAATAAGCGGCAATGGGTAGTGGTCCCGTACTGTGTTAGCATTTAATTCCCTATAGTCCACGCATAGTCTGTCCTCGCCATTTTTCTTCTTTACCATTATGATTGGGCTTGCAAATGGTGAATTACTTTCACGTACAATGTTCTTATCCATAAGATTTTTTATTATTTCTTGTACTTTCTCTCGTTCCACAGGTGCCAATCGATAAGGGCGTCGATTGACTGTCTTGTTTGGGTTTTTCAGTCTTATCGATAGTTCTCCCGTAGTTATTCTAGACTCTGGTATGTCGTTCGAAAATGAGTTTTTATGTTTATTTAAAATATTGAGAAGATGATCCAATTGTTCCTTGTCCACTAAATCCGTATCAATGGTAGTCGAAGATAGCTGACAAATATCCATCTGCTTAAAACATTCCTTGCTTCTTGAAAGGGCCACTCCAGAATTTGTCAAGGTAACTTCTATGCCTGGAATGCTTAATAAATCCTTTCCGATAATAAGATCTTCAGGTAGCTCATGATCCAAAACGAGATGTAATGTTAGTTTGATGTGAACGTTGTCTATTTTTAAAACAGGAGAAATTTGGCTAAATGATATGACTGGAATGGGTCCTATACCTTTAAGATAAGTTGTCTTAGTGGCCCTAGGCCCAGGGAGCTTTGCAGCTATCGACTCCTTCACTAGAGAACAGTCAGCACCGCTGTCGAATAAAGCCCGAAATTGTTTATTGTCTACTGAAATTGTAAAAATATTACAATAAATGTTACCTTTTTGGCACAAGTTTATCTTCTTTTGGCCGTGTAACCGTTTAAAACAAGTTTCATAAGTGTGGCCCTGGATGGAACAGAAAGAACACTCCTTTTTCTTCATATCTTCATCTTTTGTTTTACTCACATCTGTAGTATCTGAACGAGCTTGGGCAATGGCGTTCATTTTGCACCAACGAGCTTTATGTCCCTGTTTTCCGCACACAAAACATGTCATTTTATCTGGTGTATTCTCATTAAATTTGGTCTTTTTATTTTGTACCACGTGATCCCGGGTAGTTGTTAATTTTCGTTTGCGCATGGTCTTTGCAATCGCAATTAATTCTGGCACAGAAGAAGATTTACTATTAAGAAGTTCTGTCCTAAGACTGTCGTCAGTAATACTACCAATCACAAATTCGACGGCATCTTGCTCAGTAGGATTGGGCTTCACAATTTTTTTAAACATTTTCCACATGTTTGAGATATACTCTTGAATACTGCCAGCATCTTCTATAGCGTACTTTCTAAACTTCAAAACATCAGAGAAATATCTTGATTCGGGTTCAAATGTCTGAAGCATGTCTTCCCTCATTTCTGCCCAAGTTGTTGTTCGTAACAAACATTCGTCTGCCCAGGTTTGCGCTCTTCCTTTAAGCACGCTTGCTGCTTTTAGTCGAACTTCGTGGTCTTTTAGTTTGTATTCATCTTGGGTGCGTGATATCAGGTCAACCCATTCCTTTACATCCATGCCTTGGTCAGGGTCGTAGCTTGGAAAATAAATATCAGATATCCTAATTCGTGTTTCACTAGGTTGGAGCATCTTTATCATTTCTGATAGTGCTGTACGATTTTCTTGAGTCATCTGCAACATCATCTCGCACATTGTATCTTTAAACGTATTCGCCAAGAGCGTCATAGTCATATTTTGAGAAAGGCCTGCGGTTGGTTGGCGTTGACTCGTCCCCTCTTCTGATGTAAGAGAAGGGTTGTCGGAAGGATTCAAACCACCATTAGCTTCCATATTTTTATTCTATAACACTGAAACATACACTTATTTATTAGATTATTTCATAACAATAAAATCGATAATAGCGATCTCAAGCAATCATTAAAGCTGATATAAATAACAAAACAACTTATCTTATATGAACAACTGCATTAATTAATAAATAGATTCAAATTCATTTACTTGTAAAAAGACACAAAATTATAAAGAAAACTTTTAAATAAAATAAATTTCATTAAATTACAATTCCTTTTAAAAAGATATTTAATTCAATAAACTCATAATTTAAAACAAATAATATTCAAATAAACTAACATTTTACTAAAATAACTATATAATTTTAATATAATTATCTAGCCTTCAAATAATTATCAATTTGGGCAGAGCTTTCAGCTAGAGAGCTGACAAACGAATGTGTCACTCTACGATGCAATCCGACTTTTATATTAAAATATAAGAGTGGGGCGACAGATAATAATAATCGATTAAACATCAATTTTTCTATAAATCATCGATTAAATGCTCGCGCCGATATACATAGGTCAATTTTGTACGTTTGTAATTAATCTTTAAAATTACTGATCCGATTTGGAAAATTCTTTTATAAATAGGGAGCTACATTAGCACTGTGTACTATTTTTTATTCGGATAAAAATCTGTTTACGGTCATATTCTAAGAACTTTAATCGAATAAAAAAAATCGGACATGTGCGAGTCAAACTCGAGGACCGAGACCGGCGGTTCTGTAACATAAAAATAAGTTAAAAAATAAATAATATTTTAGGAATGTAACTACAAACTTACAGTTATAAGATTATTCCCCTTACGTGGTATTAGACATTGATTTATGCCACATATGATTCTCAGACAACTGCTTTTGATTTCCTTGCGAGTGTTGAAATATGCGGAATAAACGCCATATCTTTTTATTGCGTTGACTATGATTTTTCACAGTTAAAAGAGATTGCAGACTTGAGTATTTGATATTAATTTCAACTTGATACCTCCACACATTTCTAAGAAAAAACTTCTGAACAGACAGGCAGACGGATGGACAACGAAATGATCCTATAACTGTTCCTTTTTCCTTTTGAGGCACGGATTCCTAAAAATGGCCGTTGAATTCCTTTATTTGAGTGCGCTGCCTAATTATTGAACTATAATATATAATGAAATAATTTAAAATTGTTATTTGAAATATACAAGATATCGAATAACTTAGTTTATTAGTTTTGTTTTTCATCTGTTTATGCAAAGTTAACAAAACTAAGAAGAAGAGAAACAATAAGTCTAACTAAATTCTGCTAAATAGACAGAAATACGAAATGATCCCCTACTATGAGATCTCGTAAAACGCGAGTTAAATATACTTATACGTATAAAGTGTGTTAGCGGTTATAACTTCTCTATACGTACATTAAATTTACTCCATCCGTTACCTTTTCACGCATAAACCGCTGCGCAGATTTCAATAAAATTTGCCAAGGATACAGATCTTGGAATCGGACATTGGCTACTCTTGATCCCGCCCCGCTTATCACGTAAGAGAAGCTGCGGGCAAAGTTTAGTTTATACATAAAATAAAATTGTAACTGAGTCAAATCCGTACATTAAATATTTTTTGGAAAATCTTATCGAAATATTCATTTTTATTGATATAGAGGCCGAATATATAGTTTTTAGAATTTTTGTCTGCCTGTCTGTCTATCTGTCTGGGAACTCATCACGAGAAAACCATTGGACAGATTTTGATGAAATTTGCTATTATCTGGGTCAACATATAGGATACTTTTTACTGTGAGAAAATATCTTATCTCTGAGAAATCTATACTAAACGTTAAAACGTAACTAAGGACGAACCAGACCGAAGCGAGGCTAATATAGAATAAAAATGTAGTGTATACTTTGAAGTTAGTATTATCAATAACACTAATAATAAAAATTGAAATTGAATCTATCGAAAATCTATCAAACGATTACGCATACTTCATACTACATAGTAAAATTTCAAGACTAGCATTGCCTGCGGCTCCGCCCGCGTTCATATGACCAAAAAGCAAATTCTTAGGTTTTACATATTAGTATACTCTTACAATGCAGTTTCTGTATTTTTTCTCAGGAATGAGATATTTTCCCGTGGTAAAAAGTACCCTATATGTTGACCCGGATAACCAGCTATCACCATACCAAATTTCATCAAAATCCCTCCAGTGGTTTTCTGTGATGCGGTAACAGACAGACAGAAAAACATTCTAAAAACTATAGATTTGGCCTCTGTGTCGATAATAATGTCTATTTCAATAAAATTTTCCAAAAAATATTTAATGTACAGATTCGACTTAGTCACAATTTTATTATATGTATAGATCTTCTCCATACGTTCGGCAACTCGCCAACAACCGTTAAGATGAAAAATAATAGAACTTGAGGCATTTTATTGACTATAATTTGCAGCTGCTTTCTTTGTATTAACATAAGTGTTAACGATCACCTTATTCTGCGATAATCCTTTTTGCACCTTTCAGGATTATTGAAGTAGAGTTGTTGATAGAAGTTTTGCAAATGGAGTTTATTATTGTATAAATAAGTTAAAGTAAATTGAAACTCAAAGTAAAAGCTTGTTTTGATTTATCCTATTAGGGAACTTAAAAGGCTGTAGATAAAATTTGGAGAAAATATATTCATACAATTTATGTATAAGAGTGTACGAATGAAATTACAAACTAAAATGTTATGCTATATTCATACTATAATATTAAAATGTGAAAATAAAACTGTATGTCTGTCTGTTGTCTGTTCACGCTTAAACCACTTAACAGATTTTGATGACATTTGACAAGGACTTATAATAATATATTAAACTAACGACTCATTCTCGTTTCGCTCGGGTTCGTCCCTAGGTACGCTTTAACGGTTAGTATGGAATAGATATACTATATATGTTTATATACATAGGTATAATGAGCTGCTGTGGGTAGTATCATAAAGTGTTTTCCCGTGCGAATGAGATAAATTTTCCAATTTTCTGGGCAGTTTTATTAATTTTTCTTTCCGTAAGGTTCCGTAAGAACCTTCTACGAAGTATTAGAAAACTAAAAAAAAGATGAATGAAATCGGTATTTATATATATATATACATATACAGGGTCATTTTTAATTTACTGAAAACCTTTTGGGAATATACTATTTACATCATAACAACAATAACAAGAAAAAATAATATTTCTTAAAAAAAAATCATACAAAAATAAAAATATTTTTTTGCACCTTCTAAACTTTAAAGTTCTAGAATCTGGCCAAGTTTAAATGAGTAAGGGCCACTTCCTACACCCCTCCACTCCTCCCCCTCCACCGGACACGCACTTTCTTTTGCTAATGCTGGACTAAATTGTTAAATTTAAGATATATTATTTTTTTTTCTTACAGATGTTATTGTTATATTCTAAATAGTGTATTCCCAAAAGGTTTTCAGTAAATTAAAAATGACCCTGTATATGTATTTAAAGAAATAACAAAAAAAGATACATACTTCTTAATAGAAGTATATTACTAAAATATATTTCTTTATATTGTTTCAGATTCGGATAAGTGACGACGATGGCTCCACTAACAGCGGCCGCAACAGCATGGACCCGTTCCGCACGGACGGCGATATAGGTCACTTTAACAATACTTGTGTTTATAATAAACAATATTTCTATACAAAAAAAACTTTAAATAGTCAAAAAATGAATACAAAATATTTAAGTTAAAAAATGAACTTAAGTTAAAGAATAAGATATAAAAACTCTTTTATAATATAATAATAAATGAGCAATTCTTGTATATTTATATATAAATTCATTTAGTGTATCTCGAAAATGGTTCTTACGATTTGGATCAAATCTGTGTGTATCTTTATGTCTCCTTCATTCTGAAACGGCTGGATAGATTTGGATGAAATTTACTTTACAATCTGTGGGCCTTTACATACTTTACTGTTAGTAATAAAATTTTCCAAAAGGTGGCACTGCTTGTATGGATACGAAATGCGTCTAGGATAAGTCGTAATTATATTCATATGAACTATATAAAGCTATAACCAACCTAACTGGTAACTACTCAGCTCGACTGCAATACATCATTGAAATCCTCCAACTATAACGGAGACATGAGTTTTAAGAGTCAAATGAAAAAAACTTTGCAGTCCGAATTAATTAAATTGACTTATTTCAAATAATAACGCTTTAAAATATATTTTTCATGAAGGCATTATGGGTCAAAGTTACTTCTGATATTCATCACTTAGGCGTCCCAATAAATTAGGAAAGAAAATCATTGTCTTACAAAAACCCTTAGTTTAATATTGAATATATCTTTCACAGTGGCTACGGACGGCATGTTAAGGACAGGACGCTACTACAAAGGAATTTATTGGCCCTCTATAACTAACAGTTTTAAGGTAATATATTTTTGAAGAGAAACTTCTTTGGAAACGTTGTGATTTAAAAGTTGATAAAACGGAAATGCGACACGAGAAAGAGACAAACACATAAATGTAAAGGATTAAGCCAGCGAGAGAATGAGATAGAATACATTACACAGGAAGTGAAAAATAATACTGAATAATATGTTATGTAATATATGTTAAATAGAATGTAAAATAACTATTAAAGTTGGTAAAAAGAACGAAACTTATCACTTATAAAAATGAATATTTATTACTGTGGTATGAATAGTGCATAAATTAAATAAAAATTATTATGACTAATGATGACTAGTTGCCGTGGTAACCATTGTTATTGTCTGATAAATATACAATATTATATTCTTTCCGTATATGATATTGTAATATGCCTTATTTAATTATTAATTTATTTTAATTTAATTGCGATATTTGCCAAAGAAGTTTAACTTCAACCGCGCGTAAAGGTTACGCGCACCCATTTTTTTTATTTAAATATTGTAAAAAAGGTTCAAATATATTTTTTTTATCATTTAAATAAAATAACTTTACCAACCACCTGATTGATACCTACTGGCCGGTTTTGATGAATCTATTTTTATTATCCAACGATAACAATGTGAGTTAATTGCCACAGTTACCAGTATATGATAAATATATATAAATATATTTAACATATAAAAATATTTTAATTAATCTTGCTTCGTTAGAAAACTTCATTGGTGGAAACCTTAAATTAAAGAATATATGAGAAGCTTTTAAAGAATATAAAAGTTTTATTTCGAGGAATAAAACTACATTTACGATTTGAGTATGTGGTTTTATTTTCAGGATGAAACCGTAGAATTATCGTACCAAAAGTACTCTAGAAGACAGAGGCAAAGATCCCTCATCATGGTCAACGTAGTCGACTTTGCACTAAAGGTATTTAAAACCTAACTGGCATTTATTTTTAACCGACTTTAAAAAGAAGGGGGCGTTAGTAGCCCAGTTGTAACGCGCTTTCTTGGGAAAGTGAAGTGGGTTCAATCCCGGATCTTGCACTTCTGATATTTTCATATGCGAATCATTTTTCAATATGATTACCACTTGCCTGCCTTACGGTGAAGGAGTTTTCTTTCATGAGAAAACCTGTATGTCTGAGAGAGTTTAGCAAGTTTTCGAAAGAAATGCATAGTCCGCCAACCCGCACTTGTCCAGCGTAGTGGACTACGGCCTGATCCCCCTCAAATTACCGGTGTAATATTTTAATAAAAATAATTATTATTTAATATAATATAGCTGTATATACTATAAGTATATTTAAACTTTTAAACTTTTTGTTTTCAGATTTGCTTAACACTCATTTATACTGTATCAAATCGTAATAATGGTAAGAATATTATTATTTAAAAAAAACATTAGTAGAGATTTTTCGCGATTAAAAAACTAAATTTAATAAATTTCGTGTTATTTTACAGTGATAGATGGATATCAAATAGCTTGGACGGCGGCGTTTCTTTTACTGAACATAGCTGTGTTACTGCTTGGAGGATGGCGGTGTTTCGCCAACAACTATCTTCATTGGGCCGCGGCGGCCACTTGGATCTTACTTATTGCACAAGGTATATAATATACTGGCTATTTATACTATAACTGTACCTCCTAGTATAGCTAGCTAGTTTTATTAGTTTAGTTTTATTACTTTGTAAAACTTCATCTATATATTATGTTTGTATATGATATATAAACTGCCTCGGTGGTGTAGTGGCTAGCATGTACGGCTGCACTCGGAGGTCCTGGGTTCGAGTCCCGGGTCGGGCCAAGTTTAGTTATTGAGTCTTTCTGTGTAGTAAGTCTCAGTAACAGCCCGGAGTTGGAAAGTTGGCGGTGTGTCACCCCCGTGCCTCGAAGAGCACGTAAAGCCATCGGTCCTGCGCCTTAACTCTCACTGGTCGTGTCTCGTGTCGTCCCACCGGAATATGAGAGTGACAGGAATAGAGAGTGCGCTTGTGTCTGAACGTACACTTGTGCACTATAATATCTCCTGCGCAGTTGGCTAGTCTCAATGAGATTGGCCGCCGTGGCCGGAATCGGACAGGAGAACATCAATCATTTAGTATATTGCGATAAAATTCGAAGTGGTATAGTTATAATTCAAACCTTTATATAATCTTCAAAGATTGGTTGGATGTTTTGGTTGGTACTCCTACACATGGCCTAAACTTTTTGATATGTAGGTACTTACAGTGAAACTCTGGTTAATGACATATGTATGTACAACACAAATATTTGAAAATATAGGTGTAAAAATGTCTAATCTTATTTTGTACGTAAGAATCAACGTTATATTGTAATTTCAAGAATTATTTAAACAGTTCTAGATCGTTCGACGGTCAACATTTTCCACTTGTTATTTGATACACAAATTGTATCACCATAATTTATAGGGTTCCGTCATCCGTGCCAACGGAACTATATTACTGAGCGTCGGCTGTCCGACCATCTGTCTGTCTGTCAGAGGGCTGTATCTCATGAACCTTATTAGGTAGAGAGTTGAAATTTTCACAGAGTATGTATTTCTATTGCCGCTATACAAAAAATAATAAAAATAAAAATACAAGAAACATTTTTTAACGTTCGTAATCGATCGTCCCAGTTAATGTACTACATACATACATAAAGTAAAAGTCATATTCATAAAAAGTACATGTACGGAACCCTTCGAGGGCGAATTCGACTCGCACTTGACCGATTTTCGTAACACAGCTGCTATACATTAAATTTTTAACTTATATATTCATTTGTATATGCTTTTTTATATTTGACATCATATGTATATCATTAAAATAGTTAAATGAAAATCTTTCTTTTGACAGGGTTAAGTGGCCAAGGCATAGGTTTCGGGGAGTCTGAAAACCAAGTGTGGTACATGCTGTTTATAATATTCGTGCCATACGCTATGCTGCCGCTGTCTTTGGGCTGGTGCATCGTCATCGGCTTGCTGTCGTCCGTATCGCACGTGTTGACGACAGCTGTGAATATCAAGGAAATTGTGACGAAAACATCGACAGCTGCGGTAAATATTACTATCCTAAAAAATATAGAAAATTAGAGGTTTAAATACATTTTCTTTCGCTTTAATTCACAAACATCGACGTGACGACTCGTTTGACTCAGTTTGTAGTGATCCTACTTACTGTGCCAGCGGTCGCGGGTTCGAGTCGCGCGGATGCATTCATTTGTGTGATGAGCACGAATGTAAATTATATATGTAATGGTATCAACTGGTATCCATAACACAAGCCTCGTAGCTTACCATGGAACTAGATGGTGCTGCGTCTTAATGTCCCAACATATTTATTTATTTATCTACTTACTGGTATTTTTGCATTTTTTTTATTAATTATAGCCTATAACTATCTTAGATAATTCTTTCTGAGATTGGCCTCAATAAATACAAACTCAACTTTAATTATTAATGATTAATTTTTATTTATTATTTTGTATATTCATAAGAGTCAGAAAGTAAGATAGCTTTTTCTTCCAATACATTAACTACCTTCTTTAAAGGGCTAGTGTTACAATAGGTACCTTTTTTTTAATGTTGGGAAAAGCATTTACGCATACCACTTGTAGACATACAGGCGGTTTTGTAGGACTCACCTGCTAAAAAAACCAGTACTACCCACTAAACCCCAACAAAACCTCCTGCGTATTAATGGGGCGTCGCAGGATCGCTAATGCACTTAAGTGCGTACCACAACGCTCCGATGGCAGCAAACCACAAACCAGACCACAACAACCATGGGGTTGCTCCCACGGTCCACTCTGCCGTCAGAGAAGTAGCTCTAGGAGCAACCCGCATGGTACACCGCCCACCTAAATAGACCACCGGCGTTTCATGGCTTAGCGCCTGGCTGTATTGCCGGACGCTAATGAGCCCCAAAACCACCCCCTCCCCCTCACCCCCACCACGACATAGTGAACACACGTTGGGGGGGAGTGTATTAAAATACCTAAGTTATTATTAATTAAGTCTAAACTAACATATAAATACAATTTTATTTTTTTTGTTATCTAAAGGCAAGTTCATGCGGCACAAGACTTTTAATAGGCAATGCCTTACTCTACACTGCTGTAAACTTTGCCGGCATGTATGCGAAGTATCTCGCGGACTGGGGACAGAGGAAAGCGTTCCTAGAAACCCACCGGTCCATGGTCACGAGGCAAAAGACGAAACGGGAAAGTGATCGACAATGGAAATTGTTTCAAAGTGGTAAAATTTAACTATGTTTAAATGATTATTATTATACACTAGTTGTCGCATACAGGGTTGCTCGAGTGTAGGGTTATTTCTTTAGGAACACTGTCATTGACCCAATTATGCTATTATATGAGAATAAAGAATGTACTAATAGTACATAATTGATTATTAATATTTTAAATGCGAAAGTTTGTTAATGCGTGTATATTTTTGTTAATTCTAGATTCTGAATGGAAAAGTTGAAGTTTTTTGCATGGTTTTTTATGAAGTCAAAAATTACAAATATGTTAATTGAAATTTGGACAACAATTTGGACATCTGTTTGATCAGCTGTAGTCATAAGTAAAATTCGAAAATGATGGTTCTAAATAAAATTCAAAATAGTTGAATTCAAAGTTACAATTTACATATATTTCAGACTAATTTTATCTACGTGATTTAAGTTTCTAAGAACAAAGTTTTAAGTGCACAATTTATTTTGCAGTTATCCCGGACTTTTTAGCAAAACAGATTTCTAGTCACGTGTCGAAAGTGAGAGGCGAGTTCCAAGAGCAGCAATTCAATAATTTATATATCCAAAGACATGAGGACGTCTCCATTTTATTCGCTGATATCAAAGGATTTACTGGTTAGTATACTCATAAAGTTAAGTTAAATGTTAATGAAAATCTTCATTTAGATGTTATTTTAAAATAAAGCTGGTTTAAAATAGTTCTACGTTAGTAAGACTTTGTTTACTTAAGTATTAATGATTATATCGGGGGCTGTAATTAGAAAAAAAATGTTGATGCCTTTGGGGTAAAGCAATCATTTCAGGGGTTGATTATTATGAAATTATATATTTGTAATTGGATTTCATAACTTATCAATTCAATTTTCACGTTTTTATTATGCAGTTCAAGTCGTATTTAACTTATTGAGCTTATAATAGATTAAATTCATGTAATATCGTCATCTAATTTTTTTTGTTTTAGAGCTTTCCAGTAAATGCAGCGCACAAGATCTAGTTAAGCTACTCAACGAACTCTTCGCCAGATTTGATAGATTAGCCTCAGTAAGTGACAATAATTAAACATTTACTATTTTAAAATTCAATTCATAGTCTGTATTAAAACAAATGCACTCATTTAGATATAACTTCCATTTTATAGTATAAAGACATACCTGCGAAAATATATGTTTGTTTTTGTTCTATCTTCTCACAGCATAGCATAAAGGAATTGGCGTGATTTGAAAAAAAATTTTTGGACTCAATAATCTTTACTACCCCTACATCGAATTTCCGCAGGTTATTGCAAAAATCCACTAGCTTAGTAAAGCAATATAATAATATGTACTAGCGGCTCACCCTCGCTTCGCTCAGGTTCACCTATAGAAAAACAAAAACAAATCTATCCCATGGGAATCGTACATTTTTCCGGGATAAAAATTAGTTTTTGTGTTATTCTGATGTACGAGCTATATTATTGTAAAGTGTCATCAAAATCTATTCAGTAGTTTTTGTGCGAAAGAGTAACAAACATACATCCATACTCAGAAACTTTCACATTTATAATATTAGTATAGATTCATAAATTATCTTTAGGGTTAATAATAGTTTTTTTTAGGAGAACCACTGCCTACGTATCAAACTCCTGGGTGACTGTTATTTCTGCGTGAGCGGTCTGCCCGAGCGGCGAAGCGACCACGCCTTCTGCTGCGTCAACATGGGCCTGCAGATGATACGCGTGATACGCGATGTCCGATACAATAAACAGGTTTTTTACAATATTATTACTAGCACATATTCTTATTGCTCTTACAGCATCATCTATGTATAGATAAATCAAATTGAAGTGTCTGTTTGTAATGTCAAAATTACAGCTTTTTACTAAATGCATATATGGATGTATACATGGTACATATACCAAAATAACATTTTTTTACAATCTTTGTCTGTGTGTCTGTTTGTTTCGGCTAATCTCTGAAATGGCTGAACCGATTTTGACGGGACTTTCACTGGCAGATAGTTGATGTAATAAGGAGTAACTTAGGTTACTTTTATTTTAGAAAAGAAAATAGGATACCACGAAAAAATTAAAACCAATGAAAAATTAATAATATCCGATTCTATTAGGGAAGTTGTATACATACCCTATGGACGAACCCGAGCGAAGCGAGGGTGAGTTGCTGGTATTTATAATATATTAGGTATTGTTTATATAAATAAATGTTCTTTCCAGTTCTAAATGTTCATGGTATTTGTTTATATTGTTACGTATTATGATTTCTGGGATCGGAAAATGAAGAGATGTTTTTATTGCTTTTGGTTAACGAGATTCTTGGCGAGTCACGAACACATGCACAATTTTGGCTTAACACAGTCTCTGAGCATTTTTTTCACCACTAGTTATTCTTGCACGATGAGTTCACTCCACTTTTCCTCACTTTTTCCCTTAGCTCTGAATTTTACCAATACCGCTCCTTTTATATGAATAAACAAAGTAAAAATACAAATATTTCTAGTATACTCTAAAGATTTATTGCATAATCTTTATATTTTTTACCAAACAAAACCAGGTTGAATTGCAGTCATAGCTACTATCAATAAATAGACGAGTGTACAATCTAGTATAAAAAAGATGTTAAAGGAATTCTAAAAGAAGTTCTCTTTTGGCTTTTTTGGGAAATATTTTTTTTTAATTTAATATTTAACTATCTTATTTTTAGATTTTCCATGTACATTCCCAGGTGGACCTAGATATGAGGATTGGTATTCACAGCGGCACAGTACTATGCGGGGTGCTTGGCTTACTCAAGTGGCAGTTCGATCTCTGGTCCTATGACGTCACTCTTGCCAACCACATGGAAAGCGGTGGATTGCCTGGGTGATTATTAGAAATTTCCATAGCACTTATTCATCATTTTTCAATTTTGTGTTTTGATATGTACCTATTACTCTTGTAATATTTCGCAAATCCTAATTAAAACACCAATGTATATGTATAAGTTTTGTATTGCATTATTATATACATACACCTAGATACCTATCAAAGGTACTTCGACTATATTATACTAAGAGGGCTACTGCGGGAACTAAGTGTATTAAATATTTAGCTATTATTTTTCCAGTCGCGTGCACATTTCGTCAGCAACTATGGAATGCCTCAACGGGGCATTCGAAGTAGAGCCCGGTGAAGGAGAAACTAGAGACACTCGACTGCGAGAACTAAATATTACGACTTACCTTATTAAAGCTACAGAACATCCAAGGAGGACGAGGAACAAATCTGTGAATAAGTATGTTTTTGCTTTTTCCATATAACAACATGTCAAAAAAAATTTTTTCTACGCATTTTTTCATACAATTCAAATTTAAGATGATACATAGTATGAAAGTAAAATGTAATATTCCTAATATAAATATTAAAATTACTCTTTTAATCTTATATCCAGTATTCAAGCACAGATGCCTCAAAATGAGTGTACAGTACAGCGTCGTCCAAGCGGCAGCATCGAAGATGAAAATACTACCGACTGGATCCCTGAGATGCCATTTCAAAATGTAAGATTTTTAATTAGAAGTATTTATATTTATACTTATACTATTGTAAAAAAAATATAGTGAACTGCCGTAGTAAAATCGACATATTTGTTAGGAACTATATCAAATATATAAAATCCTTGATATTTCGTGGATTAAACTAAAAAAACTTAACTCTACTTCTAAGGATTTTTTTTTCTACATACAAGCAGGAGTCCCGATTAGCTTTCCCACATATATAATATCAGCAACATAAATAGACCCTTAAACAAAATTTCATTGCTTTTAGAACCAGTGGTTTAGGTTGTATGTGTAATATTATTACATGCATGCCAACATGACATGCCAAATATTATTTGGCATGTCTTTAATCATAAGAGTATGTTGAATAGAGCCAAAAATGAAAATATTTTTTGGCCAGATTAATCAGATGAAGAACACAATCTCGAAGAAATACCCATGTATCTATCGCCAAATTAAAAAAAGTCAAAGAATGTTTGTGTTCTAAAGGCTTTTATACAATAAATGATTTTATAGAAGATGGCACACCTTGGGAATGACACAGGCTACTTCAACTTGATAGAAATATTGTAAATTATAATTTAACTTTAAAAAACGATAACGAGTTAATATTAGTCCCCTGAGTTTCTTTCGCCAGTTCTTCTCAGGTCTGAGGCTTCTTCTTTCCGAACTGGTAGTAGACTCATGACGTTCAGTAAAAAATTGTAATAATTTAATGTTGAATAAAATATTTTGAATATGAGTTGGTCCATTGGTCGTCAGCGTGAGAGTTCCATTTACTAGATATATTTTCTTACAGTACTTCCAAAGTAGCGCTAGTGCAGCGTTACGACGGTGTGGGACCAAACCTGAAGATGCAGAGCACGGACAAGACATAGAGATCACGTCCATATCGGAGGTAAGGCTACATTCACCTTTTATTTTATTATTATTTTCCATTTATTATGCGAAAATAATGAAATCTAAATAATTTAAATGAATATTTTAGAATGGGACATAAAAATCATTCAAAAATAATTAAATTCTTGTCACATGTATGAAATTTTGTACAAAAAGAAACAACAATCTTCTTTTTTGTAAAAGTCTTTTAAAAGATTAATGTAGCATCCTTCTCCTCCAGAACGTCTGTTTTTATGTTTTAATTCCATCCAAACATTTACAATACAATAAGTGAAAAATCCTATTTTATTGAATAATAAAAATTTTACACGTTTTACATACAAAAATTTAGATTAAATATTACCTTCTAGGAAGATGACATAATCAATCACTCTATCGAAGTAAGCAGTAACCGTCGCATGCGAGCGGAACACATGAAGCCCTGGTCGCTGCACTTCAGACGCGCATCGCTGGACTCTCGTTTTAGGCAGCTCGATGAAAAAACCTTCAAATCAAACGTCATGTGCTGTTTAGTCTTATGGCTGTTTATTGTTGCTGTGCAATATATTATGCACTTTAAGTAAGTGGATTTGTCTTTTTGTGTCTTTAGTATGTTTTTAACCCCCAACGCAAAAAGAGGGGTGTTATAAGTTTAACGTCGATGTCTGTCTGTGTGTGTCTCTGTCTGTGGCATCGTGACTCTCAAACGGATGGACCGATTTCGATGCGGTTTTTTTTTCATTTGAAAGCCAGTTTCCTTGCGGTGGTTATGTTTGGTTAATATCGGTCCAGCAGTGTAAGAGTATTAGCTCTTTTCCAAAATGACTACTCGATTAAGTGCTTCACGCGTGCTAGTGTAATCGTTAAATGACATTTAATTTGCGTAGGGTTTTTTTTATTTTTAATGTTATACTAATATCGGGCTATTATTACACTGGTTAATAAAATAGCTTGCGTGGATGCGTGTATATGTTTTCTATTATAGCGTGAAGGAGTAATCCTTCACGCTGTAATAGCTGGACGGATTTGGAAGAGTATACAAATAGACTTAGTCCTGAAGTAACACATAGGTTACTATTAGACTTAGGGATGCATTCGAGCTAAGCTAAGGAAATCCCTAATCCTGTATAAAAAATAGCCTTTGTCACCTGTCTATGATAAGCGATGATAGCCACTTACCATCATCGTTTGCTCTTTTGCCCCTTTTTTTTATATAAAAAAAAAATAATCTTGTCTAAATATCACTGGTCGAATACTGCGTAAGTTAACCAAGAAAACAAAATTGATAAACCAATGAATATTCTTCTATCTCTTCAAGTTGCTGGTTGCTTGTAATAACTCTGCTAGTGATGACGGTGGCGCTAGCGCTCTCCTTCGTGGTGGTAATGGCAGAGGAGTTCCCGCACGCGATGCCGCGGTTAGCCAACTTTTCCGCGAAGATCAGTGGGAACAGGACGCGGCGGAATGTGCATATCTGTTGTTTTGTTACCATTATGTCTATATCTAGGTAATGAACTTGATGTATACTGATATTTTATTTTGGGTTTGGGAAATATCTGAGATGGAACCTTTAATTATGTTTAGGGAATGTATGTCAGATTCGACGAATAATGGCTACACAATATCAGTGGGATATTTTTGTTGTTGGAATATATAAATGCTAATATCTTTGCACTGCAACCAGGCCATAAGGATAAGGGGTGTACTTGCACCTCTATGCAATGAAGGAAAATATAATACAAATTAATTTCTATTATTAAATTACTGTATAAATTTATAGAATTTAAAAGTTTTCCATTTAATTGCAAATCATTTAATGTAACTTATTTTTCAGTACAACCAAACTATATATATGTCCACTGCTAAGAATGTCCACTAAAGCCGTCAATGTAACTAATGACTCCAACACTGTGACTCAAGAGGACACTTTGAATGAGGAAATAATCGGAGAGTGCTATAAGCCTGAATACGTTGTCTTCACTTGGATTCTATGCTTGGTGGCGTTGACGTCGATTTTAAAGTTATACTATTTGATTAAAACTTTGATGGCAATTTTGAACGTAGCAATGTATTCAGTCCTTTTGCTTTTATATTATAATAATGATAAAGAAACAGAAGATGATAGGTAAGTGATGCAATGTCGGCAAATATTTGTTGTAGGTATAATAATTAAAGGGAAAATTTTGTTTTGTCGCTACATCGTAATTCAAAATGGCGAATACTCTTTCATTTGTCTCGAGTACACCTTTTTCACATAAATTCATTTTTTTGTTAATGGCCTCAAAGCGTGCCGATTGAGCATTTATTATTTCACCAATGTAACGTAGAATACAAATACGCTTTGTCTGTTCTTTGACTTCGGTATAACATAAATGATACTATGAAGTTTCATAGGATATTTCACAATGTCACAATTTACACTCTATACTGTTGTTACACTTATATATTATCTTTTTTTATAAATCGTAATCTTCATAACCTATGCCTTAAAATTTTTAAAAATATAGATCAAATTATCCACGGACAATAAAATAATTAGAACTTTTATTAGTACCTTCTGTGTACTGCTTTTTTTAGTTATAAAAACAACTTCAAGGAAAATATAAAGAAATTTCTTTCTCCAGTTTTTCTCAGGTCCAAAGCTTCTTCTGTCCAATTCTGTCGTTAAGTAAAATATTTTAAATTTGAATTATAACCGATACATTAACATATGTAATTTTTTCTTAACATTTCAGCCCTCTTCGGTTCTACATACAAATGACGATCTTAATGATAATGTTTTTAGTAATAGTTGTGTATCATGCGAGGCTTGTGGAAGTTACGTCGAGACTAGATTTTCTTTGGAAATTGCAAGCGGAAAATGATCTAAAAGAAATGAAGGACACGCAAAGAACGAATAGACACTTATTGAAACACATACTCCCTGATCACGTTGTCAATCATTTTTTAAGCAAAAATACTTGCCCTGATGTAAGTAGAGGAGTTGCAGAAGAGTATTTTATGAAACTTCTTTTTTTTTGTAAATTATTATTAAACTCTCTAGAAAAAATATTACTAATAGGTAATTTCTATTCGTTTATTCATTTCTATGTTTAATATTTAGAACATCTCCACTTGACAGTCCCATTGATGCAGTTGACATGAAACTTATTTCTGCATCGGTTGTTATTATTGCGGATTCAGTGCCCTTAAGAGGGAAGCTTATATTTATATTTGTGTTAAAATATTTGTTGTAAGTGGGTATCCATTTTGTTTCTAGGAGCCATATTCCCAAAGGCGAGACCACGTCGGTGTAATGTTTGCGGGGATACCGAATTTCCACGAATTCTACTCCGAACAGAAAGCCGTTGACTGCATGAGGGTTCTTAACGAAATCATTTGTAATGTACCAATCGATTTATATTTATAATAATTTCATTAAATTATACTCCAATACGCTCTAATATTTATGTTTACAATAATTGTGTACTGAAGTAAATTTTTAATTTCAGTTGATTTCGACAAATTATTAATGCAGCCGCAATTCAAAAGTATTGAAAAGATTAAAACAATTGGCGCTACGTATATGGCTGCTTCAGGACTAAACCCAGATCACAAGGTGAATATTACGGTAAAAAATAAATGAAATATTTCCTTCAGCTTATGATACGAGTATCTTTATATCAGCTATCAGCAGCAGATATCTTTTTTTACTTTTTTTTTTATACTACTATTATTACTAATTATTGATTTGTATTTTAAATGGTAGCGCTCTCGGATAGAAAACCAAATGGAAATGCTTCAAACCTCGAGACTCGACCTTTGAGATTTTAATGTGCGAATAAATTTCAACTTGCTTGCCACTTGCTTATACATACAGCGCTTAATTTACACTAAGGGCACTCGGGGCTAGTGTCCAGGGCGTGAAATATTCAGGGGTGGCAAAATTCAGAGGGTGAAAAAAATATCTTAATGATATCGAAAATTCTTTTTGTATTTTCCAAAAAAATATTATTAAAAAAAATTGTAGTTACTAGTAGTACCTAGATTTTTCGAAAAATTGAAAACATTTATAATTTTTTTTTTTGCATTTTTCGAAAAATTAATAATGAAAAGAAATTAAACTTTATCAAACTTAACCTACTTTATGCAAAAATTCGATAATTGGGCGGCATTTTTATAGTGCCCAGGGGCGGCGCTAAGGTTGAATCCGACACTGGGTACATACACCTTCATAATATACCAAAAATCTTATTGAAATACAAAGTCCACGCAATTTCGATGCGAATTCAAACACATTAGCAATTATAATATTTAACAATTCTAATAACTGCTATTATTTTTCTATTCTATTACATGACAGTGAAAAAAAATTAGTGTAAAACTTCGAATCCGTTAAAGTTTTATACTTTACAAGGTTAAAATTTTGAAATTCTCTCTTTTGACTTACAAACATATTTTTTGTAGACAGCTGAGGATGATTCTGGCCATCTCTGTGCATTAGTGGACTATGCATTTGCACTTCGGGAAGCTCTAGAAGATATCAATAAGCACAGCTTTAACAAGTTTGGATTAAGAGTAGGTAAGATCCTTTTTATCCAGAATTCTTTCTAATATTGTAAACTAGCTGACCCGACAGACGTCGTCATGTCCAAATTTAAAAAAAAATTGTGATCTTTGATTTCAAATCACACTGTAATTTTTCTTTCCCAATTTTTCAGACAATTCAATTTTTTTATAAAGACATTAAATTTAAAGCCAAGAGAATTTTAGAGAAATATACATTATTAAAATACACAAGTAACAAAAATTGCATAATAATGGCTTGTACTTAATGGTGCATAAATGACGACACCATCGTCGTCATAGTTTCAAAAGCTTAGGTCACAGCGAATAGTTATATATTTATACATGTATATATATAATATAATATCACATTGTCCGTTAGGTATTAGTTGCGGCCCCCTCGTCGGCGGAGTAATCGGCGCGAGGAAACCCGTGTACGATATATGGGGAAACACTGTGAACGAGGCCTCGAGGATGGAATCCACCGGCGCCATGGACCGCATCCAGATCACTAAGTTTACGAAACAGGTACGATATTTAATGTTTCATTAATATCTATGACCCCTAATAAGAGATTTTTGACAATGATCTTTTCTGAGTTTTTTCTTGTTAATTATTCATATAGGTATCTAGGAAAATTTAAAGTTCTTGAATAACATTAAATAACGGGCCTTGAGCTCGTTTTATCATAGCAAAATTACACTGCATTCCGACAGCTTTCTTAGAACTTATCTCACTTAACATTATGTAAACATTCTAAACTTATATTTACCTATTTTTCTGAAGAAGTACTATAATTTATTATGATTTAGGTGTTAGAGCGTCATGGCTACGGGCTAGAAGCGCGTGGCGAGGTGGAGGTAAAAGGCAAAGGGCGTATGGAGACGTGGTGGGTGACGCGGGAGCGTGCGCGCGGCGCCGGCCCGCGACCCGCGCCCGCGCCGCCGCGCTCGCTCGCCGCCCTCGTCTACACCATGCTACAGGCCCGCAAGCGTATATACACGCACCCGTTGGATGCGCCTGCGCAGTGTAAGTCATATAATTACGGCCTATACATACGTTTTATAAACACGCTGTCAACGAGCGTGCTTAGATACACACCTTGATGATATACATCGGGTCATCTGAACGTATTCTCCGCATGAATAATAAACATAAAAAGGAATATGAAATATATTTTAGAAATGTAGAAACTAGTATTTACGATGCCATTTATATGAAGTATGGTTTACACTATTATGGATGGAAGTAATTGTTTAAATAGTTTTTTTTTGATGACATATTTTTAATATTACGTTTTTAAAACTACTTTTATTAAACACGTTAATACCGTTTCCGGAAAAATAGAATGAATAGAATCTTTTGAAAAGTAGAAAGTAAGTTCAGTTTGATAATAATTATTTCCTAGATTTTAAGAACTAGAAAAATTTATTGTAAAAATGATATTATAATATAAATAAATGCATAAACATTAAACAGCCCTAAATGGGAGCATGCAAGGGCGGCGAGCGATGCGCGCTGGTACAGCACCCAGCGCGAGGCGGCCTAAGGACCTGCACGCACGCAATCGTCATACACAATATAACTGGTTAGTCTTATAACTTATTAATATTTAATTATTATCATTTAACCGTAATTTAGACTGACGTTTATTATTATTATCCTTTAAGATTTGTTAATAATTTTACTTTTGAATTCGTTAAAGAATATATCCCAATTATAAAATTTAATTGAATTTTCAGTTTTCGTCCTAGTATGAACTTAGCCACTTTATTTGGATAGGAACGAAATGGAAATCTTAGGTTTCACCTTAGTTAAGAGGTGCAATATACTGAAGATTTGTCTGCCTACTCATTGATGTCACCTTAGTAAAGTGTATTTTGTTGGTTCTTTCTTAATCAATGCAATATTATTATTATAAATCGAAATAATGCTATAGAAATGCATAAAAATAGTTTTTGGACCAACAAACTCATACGGCATATGTCGTTCAATTTAAGTAAAACGAGGATGAGTCGTTAAGTAAGTTAATTAATTATAACATGTTAAACCACCAGCAACGGCACAGAACCCAACATCCGACCGTACTCGAGCAGCATGGTGGCGCGGCGGCCGGACATGGCGCCGCCCGTCCTCGGCAGCATGTCCGCGCCGCACACGCCCACCGCCGTGCACACCTCGCCTGACCGAACCTTTGCTGGGCCTAAGCTGGGTAGGTCCTTGATAGTGTATATATATTGTTTCGTTTTCATATGTTAATTTAGGCTTTAGCTTCTATATAGATCAGGTTTTCCCAACCTTTTTTTCGTAAGGTCTCCCCGGACTATTTTTATTAATAAAATTAATATTAACAAATGCGAAAGATTGTGAGGATGTATGGAAGTGTGTTACTCTTTCGCCAAAAGAGCCTAAAGAACGTTTTCGAATGAAACTTTACAGTGATATAGCTTTTATATTAGAACAACGCATAGGCTATAATTTATAAAGATAAAGTAAAACAATACAAATACATGAACTACTGCCACGGAAGACGATAGTAAATAATATTCTCGAAAATTTAAACGTGGTCCACTCCCCTTTAAATCGCTCTACCCCTCCGTCTTTAGCAGTTTATTCGAGATCAAGATCACTTTAACGCAACATGTGACATATTGTTGTAAATAAGCCACCTCTCAAAAGAGACCTAAGTGTTTCTATTTCTTTAATCATACTACAAACTAATGTACATCTTAAATATATTTGCAATGACTATTTACAATGACTATTTTTTTATGTAGGTATAAAATATACTTTTTAACATTTATTTACAACGCATTTGAATCACTATATGAATATAAATACAACAGGTATAACAGCAAGACTGAAAGCAGCGAGCTTCTCATACCGAACTCGACCAAACAGGGATAGATCGCCAAAAATCCAAGAAGAAATCAATGGTTCCAACGCTTCAGTGGCAAACGGCACGCCGGGCTCCTTCAGATTACGATCCGTCACGACCGCTTCATTCTTCCGCAGCCGTAACAAGGACAGGAGGAAAGAGGAGGTGAAGGAAAATGGGGACACTGTCACGACTCGAATGTAAATAATATTATAATAGTCATTACTTTTAAGTATATTTTTGTATTGTAATTTAGATATGGCGCTGGCGCCATGTTTTTTTTTAATAATAATTTTTTAGCCCTTAAACATTAACTTATTCAAATTATACGTGTGTAGGTGTTATTATAATTGTATATTTACGTGTTATTTGTTAATGTACAAATGTATTTATATGAGTTTTTTAGGTATTTTACGTATTTTACCTTCGCATTTATTTACCTTGATATATGTATGTAGGTACTTAGAAAATGTATCACAACAGTGCTCTAAATAATTGTAATTTGCTCTCATTTTAAGTATCTAGCGTATTTCAATTTTTTTTATAGCAAAGTATTTTAGGACTGTGCGTGTGGGTCCAAAGCAGCATTTTTCAGTCTGAAGGGTACAATATCATAGGGCAGTTATAAAAAATAATTAAGATAAAAATTCAACGTAAACGTTTCTCCAAAGGTAAAAGACAATGAAGTGCGTTAGTAGTATTTTTTGCCCTTTGCATTACAACCCGCACGACACGACATTTCTTTGCTTACTATAAATGTAATAATATTATAGATAACAATATATGACTGTTTATATGTACATAGCATTTATTGTACCTTACAGAAGAAATTCTTTAAATGACCGTATCAAAAACATTTACGTAGACAAGAATAACTAAGCGCACAAACAGACAGACGTGAAAAACTACTTTATTTTATACTATTGAACGAATATTACAATTTCTTAAACAATAATTTAAATAACGCACGTACCTAATCGTTTTTTCTTAATCTATTGCCATATTTAGTCTTACTAAACATAATGCCAAAGTAAATTAATATAAAGATGATCTCTTCCTTTATTTATAAGATAGAAGATCAAATGCTGAATTATATTATCTAATCTTAATTTTATGTTAATCTTCATTTTATGATGTAAGTATATAATAATAGATGAGAAGGCGTAGTGTATAGGTTGGTAATAAAATTATAACCGGGTTACATGGAATATTTTAGAAAATAACTAATCAAATTTTAAAGTTTATTTTTTCCCGTCTTTCAATCAATGAACCTATCCAGGGTTTGTTTATCCTACGAGTAAAACCAAAGATATAGCTTGAGCTTGCTATTTTAAAAGCTATAATTTAATTGTGGGTCAAACAAAGTTTAAGTTTTTAAAAGGTTAATAAGGTTAATTATGGAAAAACATATTTATATATAAACAGTAAAATATGTAAAAGTAGGTACCTATTATAATATGATATGTAAAAAACGTGTGTGTACTTATGTACGGATGTAAGAAGTTATACTTCTTTGGGGTAACGAAACAAAAATAGGTAGATTTCATCCCGTATGTCACAACTCTCTGTTTATGAAAGGAATGATAAATTAACAAAATAATTAAATAATGCATATTACAATCATATACTTATAGAATATCATTAAGAGAAAGAATATTATATAATACTAGCAGAACCCGCGGCTTCGCTCGCGCTAAAGTTACAAAATAGTCTCTAAAAAGGTAGTTTCATAGAAACTTTCATCCCCTATTTTACCCTCATACAGGATGAATTTCGAAAAATGGTAAAACACGTATTTATATGATTTTATTGAAGAGCTAATACCAAGTTTCAAGTAGTTCTGATCATAAATATTTTTTTGGGTTGTATTATAACGTATTTTTCCGTGGGAATTAGCTAATCTCCCGTGGAAAAAATAGCCTATGTTACTCTCCAGCGCGCCAACTATCTCCACACAAAAAATTACGCCAATCCGTCATTCCATTTTGACGTGAAACAAGGACAAACGAACGAACGAACAAACGAACAAACAAACAAACAAACACACTTTCACATTTATAATATTAGTATGGATTATACTTTTTATAATATTATATTTATATCATTTGTCAGACAATAACAACGGTTACCATGGCAACAAATAAGTAGTTATCAGCTAACATCATCATGTCGCTTTTTGGCTGTCGGTGTGCGCGCGCATCGTAAAAATCTCATAATTTTTTCCAAACGTCCCAAAAGAAGTATAACTTAAAAAAATATTATAATATGATAAAAAAATAACTAAGCACTTACTAGACCTTTGTGACGACGAAGGTAACTGTTCCTACAACCATTGTTAACCTATTCATTGAAAAATACAAAATCTATTGACTTATAATTTCTATTAAGAATCATATTGTGTATTTTTCAATTAATTTATTTTAACCTTATTTATACTAAGCACTAAGAGAATGCCTATTTATATGAAACATGTACCGTAGTCACTAGTGTACATAAATATGGATAATTATAATGAAATGTACCATGTTACTATTAGATACTAATTTATTATATATTAATTATAGATTTTAAAGATCTGTTAGATATTAAACCAAAGCCAAATAATTTATTCGTCTTATGAATCCTAAATGTCGTATCATAGCGTTAAAATAAATGGTGAACAATATATAAAAGAATTTTATTTACACTTTTAATAAAATCTTCTGATTAAATCTTTTGATAAAAAATAACCTATGTGCTATTCCATATCCATATAATATATGCTAATATCTCTGTGCCAAATTTTATCCAGATCCGTTCAGCCGTTCGGGCGTGATTGAGTAACAAACATTCATGGGATAATTAACATAATTAATGGGATGATTTTCTATACATATGTATATAGAAACTGCAGGCGTCAAGAAAAATAGGATAGCTTTAAATATTTAGATAAACAATACCTACAAACTACTTTCATTATTCAAATGAAAATATAATTAACTAGTTTGTTAGTATGTGTATATTTGTTCCACTATTACACTGAAACCGCTGGACGAATTCAAATGAATTTTAAAACACACATAGACTATGATCTGGAGTAACATATAGATAGGCTACCCATAGAAAAAAAAAACATAAAAGATGGAGTTAGCTATATATAATATTATGACCTATATATAATTACCACAAATACATAGACCTATATATAATTATTGATTTAATTAACAGAATAACTAACGACAAGATTATGTCAAATTACATACATATTTTTTATGTAAATAAAAGATAGAAATACATATGTACTAATATATTTAGTACCTAATATTTAGTATCAACCTTAGTTGGTTTTAATGCTATATGCATATATGTATTTAAAAAAATGTAAAACTTTTAACTGATAATAAAAAAAGACTACAAAAGTCACCTACTGATGCATGGGGAATATAAATATGGGGAATTTCAATAAAACAATTCTATTTATAATAATCTTAGGTGTATTTATACAAAAATATTGTGTGGACCTTTGTGATGCACAATAAATAAGCCACAGCGCACACCGCTTACTCGACCGAGGCATACATCAGCATTCCTATGTGACACAGCCGTCTTACGTTTTGGAATAGGTAAAATATACAATTTATAGAACAAAGTTATTTTTAAATATTATTATAAGCAATTAGTGAATATTACAGTTCAAATCAAATCTGATATTTTCATGTGTTAAATCATTTCCAACATGATTACTACTTGTCTTACGGTGAAGGAAAACATCGCTAGGAAACCTGCATGTTTGAGAGAACTTGGCAAGTTCCCGAAAGACACGTGAAGTCGGCGAAGCCAGACTTGATCAGCGTAGCGGAATATTGAATGATCCCCATCGTATTGAGGGAGGCTCACCCCCAACAGTGGACATTTAAAAGAATTGAATTATTATTTATTTATATGTGAATATTTAATGTCTCATATTAAAAATCTGAGTGTTTTATACTTTTATTTATAACTGTGCTGTTCTTCAATATTCTTTATCTGCACTAGTATTAACGAAGCTTTAAACTTTAACTTATAATTGCCTTATTAATTATTATCAGAGAGATAAAAATCATAGGTTTAATTTTGAAAACAAATTATATCTAAAAAATGCTAACAAGAATGTGTTATATTCAAGTACAACTTAAACATCTTTTTTTAAATAGTTAATTTATTCTTGTTTAAGCCTTTATCAATTGATAAATTGATAAAGTAAATAATGCTCAATTGAGCAATCAATATGTACCTACATTGATAAGATGTAAGATGTAAAATAACGTCACGTTACCTCACGTACCTTACTAAAGAAACTGTCAAACAGTCTCTAAGGTAAAAACTATAAAATTTAAACATCCTCGAGATCGAATCCATCGACATAAATTAAAAATATAACTAATAACAAAGATTACTTTCCCAACTTTGTTCTACAAAACGTATAAAGCGACAAATAGGTTTATAAACAAACAACTCACATCAACTATTGAGTTTATACTTTTATCCGAAACTCAAATAAATTACGGAATGAAAGGATTACTATATATTTCTAAAAAGATATTATGTGTCTAATAGTGATGTAACGAATGTTCGATTTTTCATATTCGCGAATGCGAATGTTGGAGATATATATTTCAAATAAAGCGCGAGCAAAATGTTAAACAGACAAGTTTGACATTTCGTGTCGGCCATGTTTAAACCCAACATACTCCTAATAATAGTGCCACAAACTTATCTGACCCGGTGGCCAAAACTGGAACTACGTTTCGCCATTTTGAGCGGTCATTATCCTTCATCTTACCATTGAAATATAATTCATTAAAAATGTGTTTTAATTATTATTATTCCTTGTTACATTATGTTGTATAAAAATGACTAAAACAGCAAATTAACATTTCGACTACTCCTTGTGGACTTGGGAATGTCATTATTTTTACCCTAAAAAACTGCGGAAATGCTGTATGCTGTCTATAGCGGCAATACTAAATTCAACAACAGCGACGCCGACAACGTATGAGATAAGTTTGTGACACTAACACCGAGCCGATTCAATTTGAATGAACGAAGTTAATCACATAAGTTCATTCGAAAAGATTTCTTGTAATTTGTTTATTTTATTATTTCTTGCAAATGCGAATGGCAAAAAATATGCGTATATTTGCGAATGCGAATATTCGTTACATTACTATTGTCTAATACAAACGTGGCGATTATATTAAATTCTAGTGAGAAAAAAATTATATATAAGGCACTCTTTACGTCTATACTTCATCATTTCTTTAAGAAAACAAACTTTCTTTAATCGCTTAGATATATTAGGATTTATAATATCAAAAAAACACCTTTATATAAAAAAAAAGTTTAGACAAACATAAAAGAGATTATCTTTATTTCATATTATTATCAATGTACAAAAACTTGATTTATTCAATAAATAGTTGAAAAAAATAATATTATATGATTAAATACGTATCACTTTACTATTTATTACATATCATTCATATGTAAAAAGAAGTACATAAATAGAAAATATATCCGGCCTTATAGAATTGTTATAAAATAAAATTATGCATCAATGAAGACATGATATAAAGATATTTTTTTTCTCTAAATATACTCGTTATAATACTTGAATAGTATTAAATGGATGGAATAGGTGTTATGCCGAAACGTACCAACTCACAAATATCACTTTTTAATTAATATTATAATAAAATTATTAACACGTCATAAGTGCTTCGGGTTCATACCTAGACAAAAACAAATTATCCCACGTCGTGCATTTATCCGGGATTAAAAATAGCCTATATGCTATTCCAGACTATAACCTATCTCTGTACCAAATTTCATCCAAATCCGTTGAGCCGTTCTGGCGTGAAAGAATAAAAAACATCCATCCAAACATCTAAACTTACACATTTATAATATTAGTAAGGTAATGGATAGTATAGATTAAAAAATAAAATATTAATTTCTCAAATCGTTGTGTTGTTGGCAACACTTTTGCATAAACTCATCCAAATAAAATTGATAGTAATTGCATAATTGAATATAACTTTAAATACAGCTAACTTTGAACCCAGTTTAAAAAAGTATAAAATAAGATCTGTTTCCCCGTTAATTTTAGTATAATTGGATTTATATTAATTGGGTCTTTCTTTTCATAAAAGAAAAAACTGTTATAAACAAAGTTATTTGTGTCAAATATTGAAGTATGTATTGCATATTACCTTGTATAAATATTTCTCTACAACATCCCACTCTACACTAAGAGCCTATCTACAATTGTACTATAACCATCAGTTCTTCACTTAAACAGTTAAGTGAGCATTTTTGTGCCGAATTAGTATCGAATATAAAAAAAATTTAAACAAAATTGAAATCAAACTACTGTATGAAGTAAAAAAAAACAATAAATTAAAAATGTTATTTTTTAAAAACATAATTTCTACAAATGAAGGGAACAGGCAAGGAACAGGGAATGTCCTTATGAATAGATTATGAGAAAAAAGATGTTTAAAGTTTAGAAGCGATAATTTTGAGATCAAAGTACGCAGTAACTTTTTACATGTACATTTTTAGTCAATCCTTCTTCTTTACCGTCATGTATATTCCCAGTTCATTTCGCTTTGGGCATAGATAAAAATGTATTTTTAGCGACGTCCGTAGAGTATTTCTAAAGACCAGTGATAGGGAATGAAATTACCATAGACATAGTTCTTGTTTTGTACTGGTAATCGATCTACATGATTAGCAGTACAAAACAAAAAAAAATCAAAATCGGTCAAGTGCGAATCGCCATTCGCACAAGAAGGATCTGTAGCATCGTGCTACGTGCATTTTCGTCAATACGACTTTTATTCTATGTATGTAGTATATTAACTTCGATGATCGATTACGAGCGTTAAAAAATGCTTCTTGTATATTTTTTTTATTTTTATTATTTCTTGTTACCGGCAATAGAAATACATACTCTGTAAAAATTTTTAACTCTCTACTTATTACGGTTCATGAGATACAGCCCTCTGACAGACGGACGGACGGACGGACGGACGGACAGCGGAGGCATAGTAATATTGTTCCATTGGCACCCTTCGGGTATGGAACCCTAAAAGCAAAGATTGTGACATTCCCCGTTCTTTGCCTGTACCCTTCAAATGATGTACTTATGAAATATTTACTGTATGCGAGAATAGAAATTGCATTCTTTTATGATAATCCAATAATGAGTTAGAAATCATATTTTCATATAAATATAGGCAAGTTTTCAACTATCACCTTTTAGGTTTAACATATCCGAATGGTAGGCATATTTTTACAAAATACACTTGTTATGGCACCAATTATTATGGTCTCATTGTTATAAAATTACAAAATTAGTTTGGAATTGATGGTGAATTTTTAATTCAAACTCAATTTTGGTGTGCGAGCATCGGTGTCTGCAGGACTTCTATCCACCTGGAATTAGAATAAATGTGAATAAATATAGGACTTCTGTATGAGATCACTCTTAAGGGTATAAAAAGTTTAAAAATAAACATAAAAATTGGTATCGATACCATGGGGTCTCGTCACGAACAAAGAAAAATTAGTTCAAAAAATTGTCAACAGATGCCGTCACATGTATTGATTTGTTATCAAAGTTGTGTTAAAATAACAAAAGATAAAAAAATAGATCCCAAAAAGGTATATTATTGTTTCAAAAAATATTCTTAGTGAAGGGAAAAGAAACAATTTGCTCGTAAATCATTTTTGCGTAATTTTACTGATATTATTGAAATATTAGCAATCAGATGATGGGTTTGTATTTTTTACTGCGCTTTTACTTTTTATACATTGTTTGTCACGGTTAAAAATTGTTATAATTAAAGATTTTTTTTTTATTCGAAGGCAGAATGAATTTTATAATATTTACCATTCGTTAGCTTGCACATATATATAAAATAAAACAGTTCAAGTATTTGTAAATCAACGACATCTATTATCTATTCAAGCAAACAAAAATATCCCGCAGAATAGCCCAAATTAGCACTATCCGATTCCTTTGTATGGGATGAGGCACCTGCACTAGTATTATGTGATATGCGTCGATACTGAAGAACGAATAGAGATGTCGGGCAATGTGCACACATAAGATATACACTTGCATTGAGTAACTCCTTATTTTTTGAAAGCTGTTAATTTAAATATGGTAATCCTTTGTTCAAAAATCTAATATTTATACAACCAGTTTTGAAATAATTCCGTAGAAAATGTAGCGTTCATCGAAACAATACCACGCATAATGCTAGTTGGTAAAAATACAGTTATGCAGTTGACGCTGCCTTCGGGCGCGCCTCGCGCTTCATCGTGCGAGCTCGTCTTACCCCCGTCCGCTAATTGTATACCTATTACCACGCCGGCAGCTAAAGTTTATGCCTTGCCACGTTTATTCGATTTTATATTTCGTATTCTAATATTTATATTTCATGTCCAAAACTAATTCTGTACTTTCACTATTCCTTCTCTGTGTACTTTCGCGTATTTAATGTGTCAACTCCTTTCTTTAATTTATTTATGCATAACTTTTACTAAATTCTTATTAATATAGATGAAACTCAATCTATAAAAATATAAAGTGTAGTACCTATTATACGTAAAATGGCTGTCGGCTCTGAAGAAATACACATGGTTTTTGAACTGCAACTTGAATACAAACTCCTTGTCGATGCCATCGCTAGGCGCCGGCGCACCCACACTATATCTGATAAAAAAAAGATAAAAAATTAGCATATTACAAGTTATAATATATTGTTAAATATGAGAAAAATATTTTTTTTCATCAAGCGGAGGCATATATATATAGTCAGAAGTTAGTGCAAGTGAAGTAATGAAGCTCGGGATAAACGGAGCAGACATATCTACTGTAAATTTATTACCATTCACAACTTCTGTTACAATCTTAGGTTGCGCGTATTTATTATTTATGATACGCGCATTTATTATTTTGATATTATTTTTTGTTCCCGACGTTTCGCATCTATTACAGCAATCATGGTCTCGGGAGAGATTAAGGTATTAAAAATCTTAAAGATCATTATATAGTTGCCTACCCACAAAATGACCAAAATCCGAAAAGATAGTTTTATTCAAATTCTCAAATATTTGCGTAAAATCTAAGAAAGTATTACCTAAGTGGTAGTTGAAGAAATTAACTTGCTCAAATAAAACAAACAAGAAGTAAGTAAATAATACCCCAGTAAAGGTAGCGAGGCGAGTGGCGAGTGGTCGCGACACGTTTTGTAGAAGAACAGCGTGAAAACCGCAAACACCACCCATAGCTTTTGCCAGCCGTGAGAGTTTTTAAACTTGCGCAGAAGATAACCGGATAGTTGACTCTGTGAATACAATAAACAAACATTCTATTAATATGTACGACAATATGTGTGTCTGTAATAAAAAAAAATTTTAGTATTGACTAGTGCTCCATTTCTTTTAGTTTTCAATTTTTAGTCAATATAATAAAAAAAGCTAATGGGTCATTTTGATACAAATAATATAATAGCATTATAAAAAAATACAAAATAAACTGTCTATATTTCTATATTATCACAAGAGACGTCCTCATCGTCGGTAGTGTATAAGCGATCCTGCGATACCCCTTTAAGACGAGAAAGGTTCCATATATGAGTTCCACATAACCACCTGTACATATGCACGTGGTTACATTATTTATCGCCAAACATAATTTTAGGTCAACGGAAAGCACCCTATAGGTTTTGACTCCCTTGCGAGTGTCAATCAAAATATGCGGCATATTTATGCCGTATCTTTTGATTAACATGGAAGTTTGATTTTTTCACAGTTCCAAGGGATTGCAGACCTGAGTATTCGATATTGAATACAACTTCAACTCCACGCGTTTATTAGAAAAAGGTTCGTGACCAGGGCTGCCATCAGAGCCAACTAACTTATTTTATACCGCTGGGTCACTCAAATTATACCAAATCAATTTTTATTATACAAATTAACAAAACTGTTGAGAAATAGTCTGTGACGAATAAAAAAATCAATAAAAATACTTAATAATTTAAAATGAAATATACATAAAATAACCATATTTTACAATTTTCATATCCAATTATAGGATTTGGCAGCCCTGTTTGTTACAGATAGACGGACAACGAAGTGATCTTACAAGCGTTCCGATTTTCCTTTCGAGGTACGGAACTCTAAACAAGTGTAGGTGCTCACCCGCATGGCGAGGTGCAGCTGCGCGCGCCGCAACGACGCCGCGCGGTGCCAGCACACGTGCGCCAGCGCGCCGCCCGCGCCGCCGCCCGCGCCCTCGCACGCGCCCTCCGACTCCTCTGGAAGGCACATTACTGATATAATATTATAATCTTTATTACATTATTACATTATTTTCATTTGCTATTTACAATACATAAAAATTGGACTTTTTGCCAATACAGTGGCTGTATAAAGTGAGTGCATAAATGAAAATTGAGTTTTAAATCATTCTATATATAGTTATGACATTCTATTCCTTAATATTAAATCTTTAGTATACATAAAAACATAATCGAAAAACTATTATAAATGCAAATATTTATGACCCACAGTAAGTTCGTTACTTCGTCACGTTGAAAGAATTATACGGACTAATCGCATTTTAAACACCCAAAACGTTCAATAATTTCAACGTGAATAAATACACATACGCACACGCACATACACAGACACACACATGCAAACTTTCGCCTTCATAATAGTATTCCTATATATAATAAAACATAGCTTATATGTATGTTTATATCATACCATAATCCTGCAACTGCGGCGTAAGCTGCGTGTCGGGCGACGCGGCGCCGCCCCGCGCAGCGCGCGCGCCCGCCGCCAGCGCCTCCGCCCAGCCCGCGTACTCCGCCTCGTTGCTTGTGCTTAGCGTTAGTTTTGTGTCCTCATCTATATGTTCCACATTTATATATTAAGAATTGTTATACCACTACTCTACTACTAATCCATAAAGTCGTTCTTACGAAGGCATCATGGCAATAGAGAATATGAGTGTGATTTAAATAAAGATGAAATATTTTTTTCCCGTACTGTAATTAATATATAATTAAGGTACGCGAAAATTTAAAAAGTTTTAGTAGGAAATTTTGTTTGTTTTGGATGATTATTTAAATTATGAATCAAATAATAGCATTAATGTAATTAAAATTAAGGCCATTATTAATATATTACTATTTTCTTTATAAAAACTAATGTTTTGTTATTTAATTATTTATTATTTATTGATCTGTTATTTATACAATAAAATACATGTGTAATTGTGGTGGTTTTGATAACATGGTTTTTTGCATAAATGACGCCATCTTAGTCAATTATGAACCTTTATTTTCTTTATTATTTTATTATTCAATGTTGAATACTTTATACCAGCACAATAAAAAAATAAAAAATATTCAACATTGACTTTAAAGTATTCTTTCACTGTGTGTATAGCTATAGTTTCTAATTTATACATACATTTAATAATAAAAGAATGCGGTAAATCGGTGGTCTCTACGCTCAGCTCGTGCAAGGGCAGCACGGAGTGCGCTCGAAACAGCCCGTTCGAATTTTTCGACGCGATTATCAAAATGTCGTTGAACTGTAAACAAGAATATTGAAAATTAATATTATTAACGTATCAACTTTTTAAGACTTATATAATACTATGAAGGAAAACTGACTTCAGTGGACTATAACCTCATAATGAGAGAAAACCTTTACTAGCAGTAGGACATTAAGGCGCTCTTTTCCAGAATCGCCGCTCCCTAGGCGCCAGCGCGCGACGACCCGTTTCATTTTATCTGTTTTTCGCCTATTGCCATAAATATAAGTTAATAAATGAAAATCTGTTTCTCGAATACCTAAATAATGACAAGCTAAATCTATCAGTATAACTTTCATATCATATAATAATGTATTTTGTGTTTATCAGAGATTTTAAGGTATTTTTAGACCTATCTTTGAATTTTTTTCTATCGAGTGAACTATTGCCAATCGTGTTTTGGCCTCTCCGGGTACTTAGCTATTATCCTTAACTATAACATGTATGAATTTTAGAACTATATGTATTATATTCGTGGTTTTATAAAGGTTCAAAATATCCTAAATTCTGGAAAAGAGCGCCTTAAGAGGGGTGAATATTTCGCTATTATATTTACAGCTTAAGTTTTTCTATCTTTTAAATACCAGATAAATTAAATGATAATACCAAAAACAATAATCGAAAAAATAATAAAAAAAAAGAAAATATAAAATAAAAATATTTGTTTTCTTTACCAAGAAAAGCATCCTTTGCTGCAATCCTTTCGAAGTGTGCGTGTACACGCAGCCTAGTCTCACGAACTCTCTCTCAGCGACCAGTAACTTATCATAGCCTGTGGAAAAGTATGAATAGCTTTATGTATTGACAGGTACGTTTTAACGATTTATAGATTTCTCAAAGATGAGATGTAAAAAGTGTCCTATATGTTGACCCGGATAACCAGCTATCATCATACCAATCAAAATCCATCCAGTGGTTTTCTCATGATGAGTTCCCAGACAAGCAGACAAAATTCTAAAAACTATAGATTCGGATAATACTTTCTTAGATTTACGCGGATTCGGATTAGATTCGGCCTCTGTATTGATAATAACGATTATTTTAATAAGATTTTCCAAAAAAAATATTGAATGTACAGATTCGACTCAATTCTATTATATCTAAATAATCCATACATTGAAATAAGTCTTAAAAAGGCCTACAGAAGAGTCCGCACTCCGCAATAACATTATCAAATCTGTCTCCTTAAAGACACGTACATTCGCAATAACTATCTTTGTCTCTTTAAAACAAAAATTTTCTCTAGGAAAGCAAAATAGTTATCAACATTGGGGACAATATTTATTGCCTATATGCCTATGATATCGTCGATGATTGCATTATTGGATTGGATTTTCCGACATAAAATACGGAGTTTTGAAATGCAAAAATAAAGTTAAAGAAATAAAGTTGCTTCCTCCAAGAACGCCGATCTAGTACGCAATCTAGTAGTATCATATATATATATATATATATATATATATCATTTGTGACGCAATATTGACCAATTTAATTCTATTGTGACAATTACTTTAAAGTGGTGTGTATAATAGGGTGGAGCGTGGGGGGTAGAATTTATAGCTTATATAAAGCAAAAAATTTGAAAAGAAAAAAAAATGACTTAACATTTTTCACTGTATTACAATAATGCAATAAATATATAAATATAACAGTGAAAGTTGGGTAGAAAATGTCTATGTCATCAATTCTTGAATGTTTTCAAAGATGATCAGTCAAAAAAATCCGTTCAAACCAAAAACTTAAATTAATTATTTATTTTAAAAATCAGAGGACCACCTCAAAATGATGAGTAAAAAAATTTTTTTCTTTTCAAAAATTTGTTTTTTTTTATAAGCAACAATTCTACTCCCAAACTAAGAAAACAAAAAATTGTTTTTTCGTTCCACCCTAGTGTATAAGCAGAAAGCAAGCAGTCACCGGCCACGTCCCGCTGCAGCTGGCACAGCGCGGCGTGGTTCTCCACGTGGCGCAGCTGCGAGTCCGCCGCGTCCGCCGCCGCCGCCGCCAGCTCCAGCGCCGCGCGGGACGCCTTGCTTTTCGTTGCCGTCCATAGCTCTATTCATTTATTTTTGAGTTAATCATTTTAGAGAAAGTAAAAAAACTTAAAGGGCAATACTAAATATAAAATTAATTCTAAATATAAAATTTGATAGAAATCGTTAAAGCTATTTGTGAGATACAAAAAATAAATTTATGTATACAAATATACAAAAATCACCGGCATAGCGGAGGGAATAGCGCTATCTCGCTCTATCGAATCGTGTATAAAAGAGACACAAAGAGAGACACGGTCACCTAGCAACATCCTCGTGTAAAGATGCAAGCGGCGCAGCCGGTGATATAGCGCTATCTCACTCTATCGCATCGCGTATGAAAGAGAGACAAGCAATCACCTTGCGCCATTCTCTTGTAGTGGTGCAGACGGTGCAGCGGGCGCAGCAGCAGACACGTGAGCGGCAGCGGCGACGCGCGGTCGAAGGCGGCGGCGTGTCGCGCGCCGTCGCCGCCGCGGCGCCGCGCGCTCTCCACCAGAGCTACCATCGCCCCCGCACCCTCTATGTACGAGTTGTACGCCTGAAAACGCAAATATTGGAATTTAGTATTTTAGTTAAAGCGTTTTGAATGGGGAATTACATCTGCTTTATGATATATTTTTAATTGTTTTTTACAAAAAAGCGAAAAAAAAACAACCTAATATTATAAATGCGAAATAACTTTAAACGACTGAACCGATTTAGATAAAAATTGGTATGAAGATAGCTTCAGACCCTGTGAAGGACATAGGATAGTTTTTTCTGCTCCCGGAAGTCATCCCTTAAGGATATAAAAGGGATGGAATTTTGTATGGGGAATCAATCATTTCTCAAGTAAGGGATGTAAAACTCATCATACCTATGTATATACAGTCTACCTTTTCGATAATAAACGTCAAAACGTACCTAGGGACACACCCGAGCGAAGCGAAGGTGAGTCAAGAGTTTATTTAAGTTAAACTAGATGGGAAGAGCAACAGGCAAAAGCTAGTTTTTAATTATAATATTAAATGAATGATGTGTCACTATTTATATATAAAAAATATTAGCACTTAAAAGACACTTCACAAAAGTATTAGATATACTAACATCAAATGTGTTTGATAAATAATCCTGAAGGATTTCGGCTATTTTCTTGTATTCGGGTTCCTCGACATCTGAAACAATTAACTCACAAGTTAATTTAAAATTCGAACATTAATTTAAATTATAACTAATCTTATAGCATTATCTATATGAAGTAGCACCACTAATATATAGAATTTATTACTTAACTACCTTTTTACATCCTATGTGTGAATTAGGATTTTAATGAATCAGTTAATCGCATCAATGATTAATTGTCCAAACGACCAATTTGCTGAAATAGCGCTTAATACAGCATTATTGACTTTTAAATATCAATTCTATTAATATAAAATACATATTATTTTTTAAAATTGCCGTAAAGATGTACTTGATCTGTATATGTGCGATATCTTATGTCTATATTATATCTCGTATATATTAGAAATTTTAAAAATAGCTTTGTTTTTTAAATTAGAGGAAAAAACAACTTAAAATTAGAGGAAAGTAGTTTGAACAAATACGCACTAAGGCAACGAATTATCTAAATAGTTAACATTTTACTACAAAGTAATAACTAACCACAACAACAAAAATAAATAGCGAAGAAAGATTATAAGAACATATGATCAATAGAATTAGTTATTCTGAGTGACTTTTTTAAAGATGGCTGATTTAGTGTCAGATGACGCAAATCCACACAAACACACACACATATCCATACCATCACACTCTACGGGCAATTCGATACAAGACAGTACACGATCGAGATACGCGAGAAACGGTCCCGCGGGCAACGCTAGTACGGCTTCCCAGTCTGGTTCTGCAAGAAATGCTTTATAGTGGTATAAGTGACATAATACCATATGAATAACGTGAATAAATCATAAATATTCTAAAGAAGTAATATGTTCTCAAATAGTACGTTTTGAAGTCATAATAAGAGATTTGAATCATAACTATCAGTCACATTCGCTGGTGTGGCCGCAATACGCGTACGAGTCTGTATTGCTGTGTCTACACTTAAGTTTATAACCCATATAATCACCTTTCCAACTTTCTGGCGAGGGCAGGTACTCGGATATCAACCGAAACTTGTGTACCATTATATCTTGCTTACAATAAACAAAAACACCTTCAGAGTTATCGGGCGAGGATACGTTCGCTGGTGTGGCTGCAGCAACGACATTTGTGGACGAGTTTGTACCTCACATTATGTTGCGCCCACACCTACGCTTACAACAAGCACAATCATCACTATTACGATACAAAAGCCCATCCACTCGTGATACCGCAAAACTCTACTTGTATAAAACAGGTCTGTACCTCGCATTATACAGCGCCCACGCCTAAGCTTACAAACAGACAAGAGCACGTTCGTGTACCGCCAAACGGTACTCGTATACCACTATATATCTCACATTATGTCGCACCCACATCTACGCTAACAAGTGACGGGATGGACAATAAAACGTCGATATTCTCGTAATTAATGTATATATTGCACTGCTTTCTACCAAATATGAAGTAAAACTAAACGAAATATTCAAATAAAGTTCATAACGAAAAGTAGAGTTGACCTACTTTTTAAAATATTGACTAGTGTCAACTGACATCTATGAAATACATTTTATAATAATTACAGAGTAAAAATTCGGTATATCTATACAGATAAATAAAATTGAAGTGTCTGTTTGTAATATTCAAATAACAGCGTTTTACTAAATGCATAATATGAAATTATATACGGTACTTGTAAGAAAACTCAATTTTTCAAATTTATGTCTGTCTGTCAGTCTGTTTGTTCCGGATAATCTCTAAAACAGCTGGACTGATTTTGAAGGGACTTTCACTGGAAGTTAGCTGACGTTATAGGAAGTAACATAAAAATTAAGGTTCCGCTCAAAAAAATTAAAACGCACCTAGGGACAAACACGAGCGAAGCGAGTGTGAATCGCTAGTAAATTAATAACCCTAACACAAGGCAAAACAATCACCTTCGCAGGTGTCGGGCGAGGGCAGGCCGGCGGGCGCGGCGGGCGCGGCGGCGGCGAGCGCGCGGTCCAGCTTGGCCAGCAGCGCGCCGGCGGGCAGCGCCAGCGGCTCCAGCGCGAGGCAGGCGCGCGCCAGCGCCGCCGCCTCCGCGCCGCCCGACGCACTGCGCCCCAATGTTCCCACTCGTTTCGACCATGTCTGTGAACAAAAATATACATTTATACTAGCGACTCACCCTCGTTTCGCTCGGGTTCCTCCCTAGTTTGCTTCCCAATACAAACTTTCATCCCCACTTTCACCCCCTTAAGGGATGATTACCGGGATAAAAAGTATCCCATGTCCTTTCCAGGGTTTCAAACTATCTTCTTACCAAATTTCATCTAAACCGGTTCAGTAGATCCACAGATTACCCCCTACAACATCACAAACTTTATCTCTTTATAATATTAGTATAGAAGTATAGATAACAATCTATATTTTTACTCTTAAGGTTATGTGTATCTATAAAAATTCTTTAATTTTATCTGTGAAATTCCTGAAATAAAAATCGAAAAAAAAAACAATTACTGTAATTACCATAGAAAAAAAAACAGACAGAATAATTAATTATAATAAAATAAACCAGTCAACAATATAATAAAAAAAACTGTTGAAGTGATGCAATTTTAGTAAGCAAACGAAACAGACCAGTATTATTTAATAGATTTATTTAATACGTTATAACACATTTTAACATCTTGCGAACAGTTATTACTTACCGCCATGACAGTTACTCGCAAGGTTAATAGATGGCGCTATGTATACCATTTTAAAGATCATGATAAATATTATATATTTACCACAGATTACAACAAAAACAATTGAATGTCCATCCAAACAAAAGCAACTTGCGCACAATTGATTTGAGCTAAAATTCTAGATAACAATAATAAATATTATTCCACACTCACGACAGTAAGTAGTTCCAGGTCCCGTTTGTACGTGCGCTCGGTCATGAGCAGCTCCTTGGCTACGTAATACGTGATGTCAGCACCACGTTTCTTTATCGTATCGCCGGCTGCCGCCACGCCCGACGATATACTTTAAATAAAATAATGTAACTTTAAGACATATTTTAATTTATGTACATTTTAAATAAAAAAATATGGTGAAAATTTCTAATACCAAGATGCGATATTTTGTGATTGTTTGTTATTTCTTAACGATATAACAACTCAAAAGGTGCAATTGATACCTATGAATACCTTAAACTTAACGCACAACGGACCAATTTAGAATTTAAATACGGAAAATTAAAAAAAGAATATATACCATGCAAGACGCATTCTTAGATAACAATTGAAATTGTTTAACCAAGTTCTTCCAAAGTTATTTTAAATCGTCTAAGAAAATCTTAAACAATCTTTACATAAGCCACACCACAAGATCTTATAAAAAACAATGGTAATTATAATATTCTTTATATGATTACCTGTTATTATTCCGCCTTGTTAATGTATCGCCGGCGTCACTTTCACCGCCGCTCAGCACGTCCATATTGTTCGTGGATGCCGAGACTATATTTACTGCAAAGGAAACATATTTCTATGTTACTTTAAATATCTTTAGTACAGTAGATAAATACAAGAAATACGAAAAGCTGAGTAATAAAGATTCTGGCCTTTTTGCACCCTACTAATTGGCACAGCGCATAACCAAGTGCGGTTTGGCAGTCTTCATACATTTTTCAAAAAATAGGTTCTTTTAGAAAAGCAGGTTCCTTTACGATGTTAACCCTCCGAAACGTGGGGCTTGATCCCGCTTCACATAGTTTTTTAAGCAAGCACATTACCACTGAGCCATCACTGCTTTAAACCTAACCGAAATCAATTGTCAAGAAATGTATAATATGAGCTTACCATGAACATTCCCATTAACAGTGTCACAGTCTCTTCTATTATCGAGTCGTTCGAGTTTTTCATGGAACCCATTAGTTATTCTCTTGTCCATTGGTGTTGACGCGTACAATGGCGCCCCCGTACTCTCCCCACTAGGCGACACGCACAAACTCGCTGAAGATACCGTAGGATCTTCTTCTGTTAACGTTTCATCTGTAAGTAGAGGTATAATGTTATTTTTTGCGGAAAAAATTGATATGAAAATTAAAGGGATGCAGTAATAAAATGCAAAATAATGTATTCATAAAAACAAATCAACATTTCAAAGCCAAGAACTTAATTTTACTAGAGTATAAATTGGGATATAGTTTGTAATGTAGAAAATAAGAATAAAATACCATATCCACTTAAGTAATATAATAATGAAACTAAAAAAAAACATTAAAACGATAATAAGCTAAATAACAACTATAAAAAAAAAGTAAAAATATTCATTAAAAAAAATTTCTGCATGCCAACACTCAAGTACACTTACATATTCCTTGGCCGCATAGAAATTATAAATAGGGGGCACAACTCAAAACTGAAGGAATATAAAACATCGATATTCAATTTATTCATTTATTGTTTAACTAACCCCACCCGAGGGGCAGTGTATTGCAAGGATACCGTACAATTACAAGTAAATATATAAATTCAAAAAGGAAGTAATGTTCGAAACTCTCAAAACAATATCAATTACTATAATAAAAACCCATACAATGATAAAATAAAATTACAGTCTATTCAGATTGTACAAATTCAATCGATAATTCGAAATGCTTACACGCTACGAATTTTGCTTTAACGCCAATCATTATTGCACTAACTATGGAGGCCTACTGACCTCTAAATATAATATCAACTAAACTTCCTGCAATTTATTCCACGTGCATTTTATAATTGAACTAAGTGGCAGTGGGTTGGCTTTAGAGGAAAAATCAACATTTTTGTTACCTAATGGAAGAATTTTATTGTATTAAGAGGCATTAAAAATGTAACTTAAGATCATTATACAGAGCCAGCCCACTTATCTTCAATAGCACGTGTACATAAATAAACATAACTAAACTATATAGTATACAAATTCAACAAACACAGTTGATATACTGAGAATTATTACAATAATAATAACAACAAATATTTTTCTAATCGATTCATTACATATAAATAACAAATAAGTCTTTTGGTAAATATTAATTTCAAAAATTGACAGCCTGAAGTACACAATCGACAGCGTTGTTCTGCTCAGGAGGAGCAATCAAAAGTGCACTTTAAAAGTGATACGATATAATTTCAATCTTAAAAATTGCATGTATTGTCTTAGTGCTCACTTTCGATTATGTTGCCAGCGTCAAAAAAAAACACCGTAATTGGTAGAACTTATTTGCAATTTTTGCATCCTCTATCAATACTTCACAGTTAAAGAAATATAAACTTAACAATTAATACTTATTACTGATACTTGACATTAGTGATTTTTGTATAATGTAATGGATTAATATGAACTTTTCTTATGTCTTAGACCGAAAAATTCAAAAATTATACCGCAATCGAGTTTAAGGCTTAGTAAAAAACCAATTCCTAATGTTTTGTGACAATCTAAATGTTTATTTAAAATGCGGGGACAGTTTGCCATCTAGAGTTACATAAAAAAAGAACTATAATTGTAGAGCATTTACTTTTGCGGCCCAAGACTAATACATACATATGTTCTTTCGATATACGATTTGATACATTACCTTCTGCTATTTAATGATATCGAGTTAAATGTATAGAAAAAATGATATAGAGTAGATATAATGGATCTGGGTGAGATACGTATGGGATGGGATACACGCTTTCCGTTCAACTTCACTTACATACGCACGTGACGTGAAGAGCCGCATCAAACTCTACTGTTACATACAATTCAGCGTTTGTATAAAGCGTTCAGGGTTTTTTTAAGGTCAGTCTGAATTAATAGCAAAGTGTGATATGGCAGGTGACCACTAGGTATATGACGAGTGTAGGTGTATGACCAATATTCTAAGTTGTTCCTTACAAGAAATCGATAAGTACAGGGTATCTAATCTACTTGGAAATAGGTAATATTATTTTCAGTACGCCTTAATTATTCAATATTTCATCCCTATCTAGCTGACAGAAGCGCGGTGACGTCGCTAGCACCTAATTAAAACTAATTTAAACAATATACGTAAGGGGGTCTAATTGCAAAGAGAACATCATCTTATAATAAATCTAACTCAGTTACAAATAATTTTAAAGCATTAATAAAAGATCCAAATTCGTAATAATATTTTTTTGATAATAATAAGCAACATATTACAAATAAATCAATTATGTATTTTAAGGCATGACTACAAATTAAACTACTCATGCCTAGATTTCGATGCTTATATTTAAATCTATTTCACTCACATACAAAGACGAATACGGTTATCAATTTTGACAATTTAATTACCTTACTAATACTGTTATATAATTCATTGTTCAAAAACTTGAATAAAAATCATTCTAATAAAGTGTGGAAAAAATTGAGCAGATTTGGCACGATTACAGACACTTTCGTATTTAAGTCTTATTGTGTATGAAGTGGCAATAAGGGGGAAGTAATGTGTATTGTGTGCGATAATAGTCTTTAAAGACGTGGAGTTGAGCAATTATATTTAAACAACTAAAACACGACCTTTAGATCCCAACAGAAAGCAAATCACAGCCTCTTACATAATAATAAGTGGTTAATTCAAATAACGAATTCATAACTTCTAGCAATCAATTGGAAACAAGGCGGAGTAAGACTAGAATTATTTGGCACAAATAACAACAATTATTTTAAATGATTCGTAGAATGCATTAAAATGCGAAACTTATTATTAAACTTGATATTAATATGTTAGTCACTGCTGTCATACGGTGAAGAATTTGATTGAGTATTTCGATCAGTACACATACACTACTTCTAATCTCTTATTAAGCTAAGGTAATCTTTAATATCGCTTTAAAATACACGATAATCAATATTCACGCTATCTGGGATGGGCACTATATATTTTGCCTAGTAATTAAAAGTGAGAATGTAAATATTTAATTTAATAGGAATCTTAATATCCAATACGATTATAACAATTAATTGCGAATTAGAATTAAGATTTCGAAACGCTAATATAAATAACACACTCGCATACTGAATAATTAACAATCACCCAACAACAAAGTCTACGAGGACTTGGTCAAGTGCTTATGTAGAAGTAACTACTCGTTCTCGTCGTCAGAGCATAAAGGCGGTGGGAGTGTTGAAACGTCAAACTTTTGTTCGGGACTATCGCTCGAAGCTTGCGAATCAACATAATGACTAGAATAAAAGCGTTCAACATTATTCAAACTAAAACGCTGGTCGAGATCTCTAGCAAAGCGCTCTTCGTTACCGTCGCTATGTTCGTTGCTATGTTCGTATTGCGGATAAAACTCTTGGGTTTGGAACATATCTATATCCTCATAGTGTTCAGGATATGGACTACCCCTATACTCTTCGTATTCATCTTTGTCCTGGGGTAGTTCCGAATCTGAATAAGCAATCGTTTCTCCTCGTTCAAAGAGATAACTTCCAGATTTATTTATTTTAGGAGCCCTTTTTATAGTATCGACGGGATATGCATAATCATCAGAATCGTCTTTGTCACTTTGTTCATCATAAAACTTAGATCTCGATGACTCTCCGAGAGATTTATCATCAGATTTGTAGTGTCCTGTAGATTTCATTCTTTTTAAGGAAGATTGGCGGCTACTTTTATTAGAATATGACGAAGATCTAGGAGGACTTCCTTCTGGTACGAAAGGTGGTTCTTGAGAATCAAGATATGGATGTCGCAATCGACCTAATCTGTCAAATCTCGGAAAACCCATTTCATCTTCTTCGACAGAGGATCCAAAACCTTGAAACTGAACTGGATTTATATTAACGGGGAATTTTTGGAGCTCATATGAAGCTGTCTTATATTTGGCATAGCTTAATTGTTCCTCATCTTCAGAGTAACTTGCCTGTTCTTGCATATCGTCATTTTTGGAGTCTCCTTTAGACATTTCAGAAGAACCAGATTCTACCTCTGGCATGTAGCTGTCAGAACACTCTGAACTCTCCATTCTTCTGAGATTATCATCGACTGCCAAATATTTAGCTCCTTTGTACTTGTCACTTTCAGAGGAACATTGACTTTTTGTTGAATCTTCCTCTAATACGTCTTGTATTTTCTCCTGTTTTTTACGTGTGTTTGTGACTTGCTTTTTACGTCTAAATGTTCGCATTCTTTCACGAGGATCTCTTATAACATCTAAGGAGCTATCAGTGTCATTACCGCTCGGAGGACTTTTCAACGAAAAGTTTCTAACAAGGAGCGATTTTTTTACCGGCGCCTTCAGTGGTTGTATAGGAGGTGATTCAGAGCTTAAACTGCTTGAATAGTATGGTGAGCATCTAGATAAGGGGGTTTTACCTGATCTCTCCAAAGATTTCTTTTCCTGCAGTTCTCTATGAACTGAAGGTATCTCTGGAACTGTTATAATAGGCAGGTCAGATGAAGATAAATAATGCTCATGGAACGACCAACTTTTCGGTTTACTGCGATACTGCTGAGACGTTTTATATTCCTTTATCTGGTTTTTTGACAACGTTTTATCATCATAACTAGCGTGTTTAGCTAAAGGCTTGTAGTCAGATCTTATAAATTGACTACTAGATTCCTCTCTTATAATATTTGAAAACTCTTGACTTTGATATCGCTCACTATGCTTTTCTTCTTGACTATAAAGCTGAGAGGGTATATCTATATCTATTTCAGGCTGTGGTCCAAAAAAGTATTGCTTGTTATAGCCACTATCTTCGCTTTGGCATCGTGTCGTTGGTCTCACGTGTTTGCGAGATTCCTCGTCATAACTGAAACTTTTTGGTGGAGCTTTCAGATACCGTTCTTTAGATAAATCTTCAGAAGCTGGAAATCCTCTCAACCTTTGGTCAAATCTCAAAACACCATTTGTATGTTTTTGTAGACTACTTAATGAACTTGAACTAGATTTATCTGACTTGTCACTGTAACTTATTGAAGACGATTTTTCTGTTTTCCCTGTGAAAGCTGCTGTTAATCGTAGCACAGGCTCCTTTGCATCACTTTTAGAGGGAGATAATTTAGTTTCTTCTACAGTGTCAGACTCATATTTCTCATCAACGGGTGATGTTTCTTTTACAATAGTGTTATCAGACTTTGTTTGCTCGTTGTCTTGTTGATCTTCTCGCGCCGTGGCAACTAAAGTATGACTTGTACTCGCAGACCACTCAGATATAGACTGAGCTAGAGTTAGAGTACTGTCACTTTTTGTACCTGAACTACTATCAACTTTTCTTGATATTGTTGTTTCAGAGCTGCACAATTTGTCATATTTAATATTTTCGGAACTCTTGTCGAGGCTGCTGCTTTTAGAACTCGCTTCTGTTTGAGAATTCATTTTTTGTATTTGTTCCGTCTTCTTCCCTGACTGAGATGTTGAATATTTTTTTATTGTGCCTTTTTCCGATTTATCACTTTTGGCTAATGACACAGCAGATATACTTTCGGAAGCAGAAAGGTTAGCATATTGTCGCACCGTGTTAGTACCAGTGGACCACTCGGAAATACTTAAGCAAATAGATGTATCTTCTGAATGAGAACTATGAGTGCATTTTTTTTGCGGTAAGCCAATTTTGACTGTTCCGTCTAAATCAGTCCCAAAAGAACTTGTTTCTTCTTCAGAATGACTGCTATGACTACATCTTTTACATGCTCCTGAACTGCCAACACTGAGTTTGGTTACTGCCTTGACTGTTTCTTCAGCATTAGTCTGTGACAGCAAATCGTCAATTGACGTGTCTGAATTATTTGATCCAAATGAAAATTTCTGCGCACCCATTTGGGGGAAGCCTTTGTCAAAATCAGGAGAAAGAGATTTACTGTCACCACCAAATACGTCGTCGGTATATAAGTGATCATCATCGTATATAGGACTATGGTTGGTCGGTGATTTTTGAGGCTGACTTATAATAACCTTATCCTCTAAGTTACTTTTGGTATTAAAAGATTTGTTTTCCGCTCGTGAACAGCATGTACCGACATCGCCCATTAAGCATGACGCTTTACTAAAAGTTCCACTCAAACAAGATTTGTCATAATTAGGAATCACGCTTTTATTGAGACATGTAAATTCATCATGACTATCTAGAGGTTCTACCATATAGCCTGATTTATCGTAAGGAATAACCTTTGGACTTTTTTGGACAGTATCTGTTAATGGTTCTGTAGATTTTTCGGATTTAGATTCTTGAACGTCTCTTTCTAATTCATCATCATTGTTTAAAGTATCACTATCGTCATCAGATCCTATATGTCCTTTAGAACTTTCTGAACGAATTGTTACTTTTGTAGCTTGTTCTGGTTCATTATTCATGTAATAAAAATGGACATTTTCAACTATAGGTGTATCTAAAGTACCTGACGCAAAAGAGTTTAAGTCTTCATTGTCGCTAGACTTTTGTCTTGCAATCTCTGGTGCTACAATCTTAGCCACTTGAGGTGGTAGCTCTGGTAAAGGCCAATCTTCAGATTCTTGACTTTCACTTGCAGATGATTGTCTAAATGGAGCCAAAACCTGTGCCGCATTAGATTTCTTATGACCACTTTCATGTTTCTCACCATTTTCTGTTTTCTTATTATTAGTTTTATCTACGTCTTTTTTTGATTCCGCATACATTTCACTTATTTTAGTTTGATCAATAGGAATGTCAGGCATTTCGGCCGATGTTCTTCTGTCTGTGTCAGATATATAGGCAACATTAGCATTGCTTGGTGGATCCGAACTTAAACTTGCTTGATGATCACTAGAATTTAGCGACTCCTCATTAATACTTTCAGAGCGAGAACAAGCTTTAGTAGAATCTTCATCAGCACTAGTTTTTTCAGAAGTTGTGCTACGCTCAGATATACGCGATAGTGTCCGGCCAAAATTCTGGCCATATCCAATAACAACATCCGATGATGACGGAGTGGATGATGTTGCGGGATAAAGAAAATTGACTGGGAAATCATTAAGATCATCCGTAAAATCAGCTTCCGTTGAATCTTTTGAAGTATTTGCGGATAGCGGGGGGTTTTTAGAAAATGTATGGAAATCATCAAGCATTCTTTGATTATTATATTCAAAAGCATCTTTGTTCATTGTCAAACTTTCGTATCCATCGTGGTCTTGAGGAATCCAAGCCTCTTCTATACTTGTACTGTTTTCACTTCCAGAAGCCCCAAAAAATGGTCGCCATGTTGGTTTTAGTTCTTCGCCGCGACGATAAGCTTCTCCTAAAGAACCAGAAGTAGATTCAGTTGTTTCGAAAGATCCTCTCGATTCCACACTTAAAGATCCCCTAGAGTCCATACTAGATTTTGATGAGCTTTTCTGTTCATCGAGTCGTGCCTTTCGCCTAGAAGACGAGTCATCGACACTAAGAGATCCTTTTGATGGTGTAGTTGTTGTAGTATCGATACTCGACTTTGACGAACTCTTTTGATCAACATCTTTTAGCGCTCTCTTTTTCATAAGCTCCCGTTCAAATGAAGAAGTTATAACATTGCCGTCGTCATCAAAATCAACTGTCATATTTTGATCCTCTTGAGATATTGTTATTGCGATTTTTGTTTTTTTTACAGTTTTTTCTAATTCTTTCTTGACATCAGACGCCTTTGAGCCAGCAGATTGACTAGATTCAGACTCTTCTATAACACATTTACCTATTTTATCTAAAGCACTCTTTCTTTGACTTGGTCTCGAAAGTTGTTCTACAGTTTTGTCACAAACACTTTCAGAACTAGATTCCGAGTCAGTAGGTGCTTTTTGTGAATCCACTTGACCTTGTTTTTCTAATGTTGGAGTAGGAGATTTTCTTGTACCATACTTTGATGGACTCCTTGGGCTCTCAATTCTACCTATTTCAGGTATAGGAGAAGGAGATTTGGAGTTTGATTTAGAATGTTCACTTGACATAGTATGCTGAGAAAGAAGATGTTCTTCGCCATATTCCATAGCTTGTTTTAATTCTTCTAAGCATTCCCTATCTTTTTTATTTAGTTTTTCAATGTCCTGTGATATACCCAAAGGTCTTGCGATCGAACAGCTTACACTAGACTCATCATCAATTGAACTTCCTTTAATATTTGCACTTGATGGGCTAATGTCCTTTTCTATGCTAGTCCAAGAAGTTGATTCTGAACTTCGTGAACGTTCAGCGCTTAGTTTTAAAAGCTCACCTCGTCGTGATTTGGCAGATAATAGCACTTTTTGATCATTTTTTTGTTCTGTTGGAGATATGTCATTTGTACTGCCTGAGCTACCAGTATGTTCCCCTGATTCAGATTTATGAGTAGATTTAGAGACATTACAGTCAATAAAAGGTATGTTTTCAATTGTCGGACTATTTTCTTGTGGAGGGGTAACAATTATTTTATTTTTATTCTTGAATTTTAATGCTAAATCTGTAGATTTCGGAAAATCTTTAAATTTGGGATCACTTTCATTCTCATTGTCTAAAAGTAACTGAGACATTGATTCATTTTTCAAAAATTCTACTAAACTAGCAGATGATTCTTCAAATGTGCTTTGAGCTTCCAAGGGTTTTTTGCTCAAACATGTATCTGAAATTGGAAGTTCTGTATCTGCGGTCAATTCGTCATAATCTCCTGTTATTCCTGATCCTGTATCATCACTTTTGCCGAGGTGTAATTTAGTCAATTTTTCTTTTTTAGACACTTGATCTGGATCTGATGAGCTATCTGCATCAATATAAGGAAGTGATATACCCAGCATATTACTCTCATCTGACATTTTAAGTTCACTAACTTCAGTAATTGACTCTTCCTCGCTAGTTAAACGCATAACTTCTGGTTTCTTATCTTCAGTTAAGCTATGTATATCTTGACTACTCCTGCTTTCATTAAGCTCTGATAACCGTTGCTTATTGTAGATTTCTATTTTTCTTCGTTCCATTATAACTGTCTGAGTATCATTTTCAATGACAGTATGTTGAGAACTTGTTATCCATTCGATCGAAGAATCATCTTCAGTTTTTTCTTTATAACTATTCGAAGGAGACGTTTCTTTTGGCTCAGGTTCTTGTATGACATTATCTACATGTTCTTTTCCAGTTGGATGAACGTCAACTGTAACAACTTCTTGTTTAAAATGTTTATCAGCTATTGGCTCTTGGATACTAGATGGTGGTGTAACATAATTCCTATCCAAGCTTTTCGACTTAACTTTGGCTTCGAAGTGTGGATCAACTTTTCTCTCCAGACTTTTTGACTTAACACTCGGATGAACTTTTTGATAAACAACTTTACCTTCTATTTGTTGCTTTATTTCTTGCTTCTTAGATAGCGTTTTTGGTGACTTTTGCAAACTAGCCAAGTCATCGAATTTATCTTCTAATGATTGAGATTTGTCATCCATACTCTTATTAATTTTGTTATTTGTTTTACCTGTCTTCTGATCCTCAAAGCTTCTACTAAGTTTCCCTGCTAGTTTATTATCAAGTTTCTTAGGTGATTTTGCTATAAAAACATGATCTTCTGCCTTGCTATTTATTTTCGTTTCGATAATTATTTTATCACCTTCTGTTTTCACCAAAATCTTATCTTCCGGAGGAGGGAATGGAGGCAAGGTATCTTTAACTGGACTTATTAACGTTTTAGTTTGCTTTAACGCCGCTTCAAACAACATTTGCTGTTTTTCCTTGCGTTTTGCAATTTCCGTATCACTATCTTCTTGAGATTTTGTTCTTTCTTTACTACCTCCTCGTTTAACATCCATCTTTTCTAATGACTTGGACTTTTCTTTAGCGATTTTCTTTGCTGCTTGCTCTAATTCTTGACTTTTAGCTCTTGCAATATCTAAAGGTGGTACAGTTAAGAAATCTGGTCGTTCTTTAAGGGAAGATGGCAAGGATTTTTGAGTCTGAAGAGCTCTTACTTTAGTAGCATTAGTATCTAATGATCCTGCCTTATTCAATTTACTTGTGACTTTTTGCTTGTCGTCTGGTTTTGGTTTTAACGTCAACTTTTTCTTTTCTTTTCGCTTTATTCTTTCAATATCTGGCACAATTTGGTCTTCGCTTAAATCAGACAACTTTCGGATACTCCCTCTTGGCGAATTTAATGACGAAGTTGGTGACCTCGAAGGAGATTTTGACAATGGTGACCGTGATATAGGCGATCTATTTAGTGGTGATCTAGACGGCGATTTTGCTTTGGACATTATTTTACTAAGATCATACTGTCGTTTAAATGAACGAGGTCTTCGCTGTTCAACCAATTCTTCCAACAATTTCATTTCTTCATTATCAATTATAGCAGACTTTGCTGGGTCTCCAGATAGTTCTTCTTCTACTTCATCAATTTTATCAATAGTGTCTTTCTTACCTTTTGATAATTTGTCTTCTATTAAAGGTTTTTCTTCCAAAATATCTCCTTCCTCATTGATATCTTCAACTGTGTCATCTTTCGAAGAAAATGCATTCATTGGGGGTAATCTATGCAATTGAATGACAGGAGTATCTAAGCTTTTAGCTCTGCGACTTGCTGTTGGTGACTCCAGAGTGGCCTTTTGACGTTGCAGTGAGAAGACAGAACCTTCAGAAAGATTTAATCTCGCATGAGCAAATAATATTGGAGTTCCACCAGTTTTCCGCAACATAGGTGAAATTAATTCATCACGTAAACTCTTTTTTACGTCAAGTTTCGTCAAGTCTTTTTTGTCGGCTTGTAAATCACTTTTATCATCCGTTTGTATTCCAGTGACTTTTTGAATTTCCATGTCAACGAGATGTTCCTCATCTGATTTTAAAAACTCGGTGCTCTCAAGTATCGGTGAAGGAATATTTTCATTATATTCCCAAGTAGAACTTTCTTTGCTAACTTGTTTTATTTCAGGTAGTTTTGCAACAACGTCATCTTCTGAGCTAGGAATTGAAATTGATCGTTCTGAAATACGTCTCAACTCAGTAGCATTACCGCTCACACTTTCTAAAACCTGTGGATTATATTTTGCCTCTAATTCGGCTAATTTCCGACACTGTGGCGGCGAACCCTCTATTTCTGTTGAACTCATTGTTTGACCTCTATGCCAAGCACCAGAAGTAATTTTATCGTATTCTAGTTGAAGAATGGGTTCTAAATCTTTACGTGACTGCGGAGGGGAAAACTCCAACTTTGGTGCAGCTTCCGTAGTTCCAAAAACATCATCTGAATCGACACTTTCATCATCTGATGAGAATGAAGTAATTCTGATTTTGTTATTATTTTTTGTCTTGACTTTACCACCAACTCCTTTTTTACTAGTCCCACGTCCTTTTGGAATTCTCTTAGTCGGCAATTTTTCAGATTTGGACTTAATATCGGCACGTAATTTTTCAGCTGCAGTGAGTGGCTTGGGTTCTTTACAAATAGGTGGTTGTTGAACGTTTCTTCCATTTATTGCAAATTTTATATCATGAGAATAAGCAGGCTCTTGTCTCATACTATCTGTTTTGGAACTTGTGGCTGAGTCACTTTCTATCTGGCTCAGTTTAGAATTTAGTGTTTCAAGTAAAGCAGAATCCAAAGATTTTGTAATATCTCTTTTTGGACTCGGTAAATGCTGTAGCTGACCACTTTTGTCTACTTCTAGAGTAACAGGATCGACTTTAGATAGATCGATATTTTGAGTAAACAAGAAGTCTCGATTTTCAACCTCAAGAAACTTGGAAACATGATCACTCTGAATACTATTTCTCGGCGATTTCGGTGACTTAGGCGATTTTGGAGACTTAGGCGACTTTGGTGATTTAGGTGATTTAGGAGACTTGGGCGATTTGGGTGACTTAGGAGAACGTGGCGATTTCGGGTGATCGTGATATTTGCATCTTGGATGTGCATTCACTATATGACGTCCATTTTGTGGGGGCAAAGTTATGATATCAGGTGGGGGTCTTTTATCATCAAGAGGAGAGGGCGCGGTCCCGTTCATGATATGTCTTTTATGTAAAACATAGGGAATATCGTAGCTATCTTCAATAACTTTTTTACTTTCATTAAAACCCGCTTTAAACGCATCGAATTCCTTAAAGTAGTTTTGTGGCAAATCAAACGATGGTCGCCCAATGTCAGTGTGTCTGGCAGGTAGTTCAAAATGAGATCGCTTTGTAGCGATAGGAGGTGCGCTTGGTATTTGGCGAAACATATAGTCCTCATCACTTGACTCTGCGGGGGTTAAATCAATAGATTTTTGATGCATTAGCACATGTCTTCTTGAGTTAACACTGCTAAAACGAGGTCTATTAGCTAAGCTGTTAGGATCGCTTTTCGTTCTTTCCACTGTAGGATGAATATATGGCACTGCAGTGTCTGCAAGACGACTGCTAGAACTTGTGTCTAGAATCAACTTTGGATTATATTCATCAAAGTGTGTTTTTGCCATGAGTTCTTCTTTGAGGCTTTCTTTCCTAACAATATGAGTATGAACTTTGCCACGCATAGACTTATCAAAATCCGATTGAAGAATCGACGACGTACCAGATTGCATGGCAGATGCTTTAGCTCTATTTTTAGCATATTCAATACTATCCATGGCTGGCAATATACGAACATTTACATCAGACTCATTCGAAGATTCCTTCACAAGATGCGAAGGCGCATTTTCTTTACTAATAGATCGGGTTAACGATTCAATTTTTTCTTTGTCAAAACTGAATACGGTATCTGAAGAACGACGGCGTTGATAGTTATGTATTTTAGATGATCTGCTATTATCAATTTCCGTTTCGAGGCCGGCAATTTTTTCGGGCCAAATATGTGTAGTGCGCGGCTGCATATCTTCTTCCTCCGTCGATAACTCATCAGTTTTCTTTACGGGACTTAGATCTGAGTAGTTCGCGTACTGATCTAACTCTACATTTTGCAAACTAGCAGAATGTATAGGAGGTGCATCTTTATGTTTATTATTGCTTGGGAATGTGGAATACGGGGTTGGGATGTGGTGGTGGTAATAACTGGGCGAAGTTATTAGATTAGCTATCAAATCCTCATGTGACTTATCGAAAAGTGTCTTTTCCCGATATTCTGGTTTTTCCATGCCAATAAATGTAGGCTGAGGATCGTAGTAATCTTTACCTGAATCTGGACTAGAAGACGGGGATATAGGTTCAAAAGGATCAATGTAAGCGTTTTGGATACTCGATATACTACGACGTCTTAAATTCATATCATCATGCTCATAAAGATTCTTTTTACAATCATAATAGTCTGATTTAGAATCTTGACTAGAAGTCCTAGACCCGGATCTATCGGAGCTTTTACTTTTAAGAGTTTCACGAGATTTTTTACTGTCTGTATGGTAGACGCTATCGCGCGACTTTTTGCTAGATTCGCCGCTACTTTTTGATAATTTCGAATCGTAAATATCACTTTTAGATTCTTGACTAGAAGTACGCGAACCGAGAGCACGTTTAATTTCTTTATAGAAATTACCGTCAGACCGAACCGAGAGCTTCTCCCTCGGCAGAATCCTCGGATCGTCCACGAGAAACGGATCTAGTGGTAGATCGTTGTCGCTCTTATACTTAATAGTCGATATATTAATGTTAATATCATGATCCTCCGCCTCGGAGAGATGCGAGAGGGACTGATCGTCATCGGAGGGCAGGTCGTTGCCTGAGTCGAGCGAGCAGGAGCGCGTGCGGGCGGCCAGCGAGCGCTCGAGCAGCTCGTAGCTGTCGTGCGAGAGGTCATCCTGCGAGCCGCCGGCGCGCGCGGGCGCGTCCAGCGCGTCTAGCGCGTCCAGGCGCGGCTCGCCCGCGGCGCCGGGGAAGCTGCACGAGTAGGCGCGGCCCGCCAGCCGCTGCAGCGCGAGCGCGGGCGCGAAGCACAGCGAGTGCGGGTCGTAGCGCGTGACGGGCGAGTCGCGGCAGCTGGCGCTGCGGCGCGGGCGCGCACGCGGCGGCGATGGCGAGCGCGCGGGCGACGCGTCCAGCGCAAGCGACGCGGCCGAGCGCGACGACCGCGTGGACGGGCACGCCGAGTATATGTTGCTCTGCGATAGCTCGTACTCGAGCCGCTCGGACGACTTGTTGAAGCTGGACGAGTGTTTAGGGAGGACGAAGTCCGGGTAGATGCTAGGGGGCGGGGAGTCGGCGGCGGTGTGTGTGCGGGGCGGGGTGCGGGGCGAGGGGGCGCGCGTGTGAGTGAGCGTGTGCGTGTGCGAGCTCTGACCTGGTGGGCGCCCACGAGGCGGCGGAGTGGGAGCGCGCGCGCGCCCGTTGACCTCCGCATCCATTATCCACGTACTCTCCGGAGATGTCTGGAAACGCATAGAAAAAGTATTTAACACACACTAAAGGTGTCTGCCCACTACACCGTCTCATATCATGACCGTGCTAGGACCGTGTCAGGCAAAAAAATATTCTTTGGTGAGCATACGCAGCACTAAAACCGTTATGTACGGGTATGACACGCTGTTGATACGTTCTAGTGGGCATAGTGGTCCGTGCCATGCTCATTTCCGTGCCTGATATGTTCATAGCACGGTCATAACACCCCCACAACAAGCACCTTTACAAGACACATAAAGAATTAAATGTACATTACAATCTTCTTAAATCTTCTTAAAGGAAATGATCTTACCAACGGTGTCGTCGTCTGATGAGGCAGATGCGAATCCTCCGTAGGATGATGATTGACCTCGGCATGGGTCACTACTTCTGGACCCGCCTAAGACACGGACAGTGTAATTTAGAAATATATTGATAATAAATAATATACACATATAATAACATAAGTGCCGTGTAAAAACAGAGTGCAGATGATATGAACAAGGCGACATTTTTGTTGCGTGTTTAGCAGATGACGTGCTTTTTCCTAAATAAATAAAAATACTGATATTTACATAATGTTGGCTCACAATTACAAGGTTCTATGTTATAATTTTGTACTTATTTAGTTATTAATGCTACAAGGTTTTGTGTCATTAGCTACCGTTTTGTAAAAACAAACCACTAGATAGCGGCACTTTAACTACAAAATATTCAATTTTACATAGTTCTATGTTGTTTTATTTATGATAACAGAATAACGAAGTTCTATGTAAAAATTACTAAACTTTATTAAAATTAACATAGAACCTTGTAATAGTGAGCCAACGAAATATGACAGATACAAAAAAAAGCGTGCGTCAAAAAAACGTTATGCACTATTTTAAATGATTAACTTAGGGCATGATATTTTTTTTTAATTAAAATGAATACACATAATTTAGAACAAAATGAGACAAAGAATATTAGAGATGGTATAAAAAAAAATTAGACACAATTGCCAGATACAATTGATTTCCAGTAAAGCGCTTACTATTTGGTTGTAGTACAGTTTTGTAAGCTGAAAAAGAAAAAAAGAAAAAATTTTCGTTGTGCGAAATAAAAAAAATGCATAAATAGTGGTTACTTTGAAAATCCTATCGGTGTTTTAAAGTAGCTTCTACAGTGCCTGTGTTTATTTCTAAATTTCTAAATGTTACATAATAATTACATTTTCAATATGGAAAGTCAATTTACGATTATATTTTTGTCTCTAATATTTAATGATAATAATATGATAGGTATGACTAACATTAAGAAGTTCAAGAAAGTTCCGCGAGTAAAAATTAGAAGTATCTCCAATATATATTATTAAATTTCGCCCGCGGCTTTGCTAGCGTCCTCGGTATGTCAATTAAATATGTTGTCTATATATAACAGAAGCAGTTTTATAATACTAGTAAGTGTAGATGTAAATATAAAAAGTATTATCTGTATGTGTGTGTGTGTGTGTTTGTGTGTATGCGTGTGCGGGACTGACCCTCTCCCTCGTGGAGACGAAGGCGGTAGCTGGTGGGCGTGGGCGAGCGGTGTCGCGCCGCGCCGCCGCCCGCGCCTCTTCCGCCGAGTAGCCCTTCATCATCAGAGAGGCCTCCAGGTAGTGAGGTTGCTTGTCCCACTCCAGGGAAATCGCTACAACACATCAACGTACCATATAGTTCTAATGTACAATAATCTGCCATCTTGTGCTAAAGAGGCATATGATTACAAATATTACAAAATTACTGCCACGATAATAATCAAACTAGATACCATCGTCCAACTATAGTATATGATGCTCTAGACTAAGCAATGACTACAATCCTCATATGCTGAGTTTATCAACAAGTGCAACACAATAACTAAAGTCATTGATAAAATTACGATCTATAATAATTGTGAGCATGCGCGAATAGCATCATTCGAATTACGTTCAAAAGATTAATATCAAAACAGCTAAGGGTCTATGCACATTGCACATGGATACTTTTTAGACTTTTTAGAGTGCAATTGTAACGCGTTTGTGTTGACCCTAATGCGAGTTAGCATTTTTTAAGTTTATCATCTCAGAATATATGCATGCAATGTACACGCGTCTTTAAAACATTTAAAAAACACGGTGTTACACGCGTTAATGTTACACGCGTCTTTAAAACATTTAAAAAACACGGTGTGAATAGACCTTTTTTAATTATATCAGCACAGAATACGTGCAGACAACGCGCGTTCACAATACGCGCGGTGTTAGAGCGTTATAAAATGTGGTGTGCATAGGCCCTAAGTCATATTAAGCAATGTTCAACCTCGGACCCAGTGTACTTAATGCGAGTAGAGCTACCTATTTTAATGCGTCAACATCAACGCGAATTTGTATGGAATATCAGCCATGCATTCTAGTGGTATAAAGAGAAATCAATTTCTCTCCTGACGATAAGGGCCAATTTTATTAAACACTTTTTAATGAGTCATTTGTGAACATATGATGAAAATAAAACTAATTTATCATTACTTACGAATCAAACGAGCCGAATTATTTTTTAAAGAATTTACTAATATTTTAAAAGGACAACAATAAAACTATGCCCATAACCAAGACATGACCCGATATCATAATTTTATTTGTTAATAATGTATCGGACTGTTTAGGAAATTCATAGTCTGATAGAACATTCAAAACCGTTCAACAACTTACAACATTTAATAAAATCTCACAGTATACTGAAATTAGCCCTTAATAGATTTAAAGAATAAAATATCACTTGAAACACTGAATTTGTGGCTGTCAGCAGTGAGTATGTCGTTTCAGTGCTTATTTCTCCAAAGGACCAGTTTATTTGTATTTTTTTTTTGAGTTTTTGTAATGTAATGTCAATTCTCGTGATGACACATTTAACTTTAAAGAAAAGATGATATTTACGTATATATGTATATTATATATAAATCTTAGAAACAACGCTTTGTTTTGAAATAGAATAAAAAAAAAAGTGTACAGTACAACAAATATTGGGCTGGTTTGAATAAATAAGCACTAAGGCGACGAGTAATCAGCAATCAACAATCAGCAGAAAGCAGTGAGCAGCGAGCAGCGAGGGCGCACAGTACGTACCGTCGGAGCCGGGCGGCAGCGGCAGCAGCGGGTGCGCGGACACGCTGGCGTGCAGCGCGGGCGCGGGCGCGGGCGCGGACACGTTGCCGCGCGACCCGCCCGCCGACCGCGATGTGCGGAACGACCCCGACCTGCGACATCGGACAGAGGATGGTCACCACCAGCTTGTGCTCAACACACTAACCGACTAGCCCTACCTAACACCTCATCTATATATATTTTTTAAATGGATCTGCCACGTAGTGGTTATTATCTTGTGCTCTTTATACTACCCGAGTAGCCCTACCTAACATACAATCTATAATTTATATTCTATTTAATCTAACACTTATAAGCGTACCTCATCCTAGTATCCGACGTAACCCTAACATATCATCTCATCTATAATTTGTATATAATTTAAACTATTCCTTTCTATCAAATCATGTACCTCATATTGGTATCCTGTGTAACGCTACCTAACCATATAATCTCATTTCTAATTAAATAATCTATTGTCTTATAGTGTATTTCATCTTGATATGCTACCTATTAATTAAACTAATTGATATGTTAGACCTATATTTTGGTGTCATATTTGATCTTTCAACTATCACTTTTATTCTCATATCGTACCGTATTATACTATGTGACTGTATAAAACTATTCAGCAAATACCCACTATATTATTTATAATTGTTGTACATATCAATAAAATTGACTTTAAGCAATTATATATAAATACTAAACATTATTCATATAATATAATCCCATAATAATATTTTCGATTGTATAAATGATTTTTATAAGTTTCATTTAAAAACTAATGGAGGTTAGGTTTCTTAGATTTAAATTTAATGACTTATATATTACAAAAATAACTTATCACCGATGACCTACATATGTGTACACTTCCGGCATTATATATATTTTTTTTTACTTCATAAACTCACTGTCTACGGAATACGAAACGATTTTCGACACTTAAAAGTAAATTCAGTTCGGACTATACAGATCGCGGGTAACACTGAACAAATGTACAAAAACGCAACAGATATCGGAAAGTGCAAATACGTTTGTGGCATAATTAAAGTAATTCTAATAATAAAAGAAACATCGATGGAAAATCTACTGATATTCGACCCAGACGAAAACAAAACGGGAGGGGATACGACAAAAATGTGCACAGTGGAATATTATTGAAAGAAAAAACAAAAAAAAAATATAACAATTCTAAGAAATCCAAAGCGTCACGATTGATTAACACGAGCGTGGCGCTGTATTGGGAGACAGAATAAATTGCGACCGTCGATTGTTTATAGGTGAAAATAAGAAAACGTAACTACAATCGTAGTGAATCGTCTCGTGTCATATAAAACGTACCATCCTCCGACCGATAGTCAGTGTCGTAGACTACACTTGATCAAGTTTTGGAAGAAGCGAAAGTCTCAACGTATACAGCGCATGCTCGAGTATGCTAATCACCACATCAAACCCATGGGAAGCCCACTACCCGGGAGTATGGTATTACAACGGGGGCCCGCCACATGCACGCGCCGCGCCCGCGCCCGCCCCGGCGCCTCACACACTATATCTACCTTACGTTGCTCAGTATATAATACATAATATAGATATATAACGAACAAATTATTTGTAAATGTAACATTATAACTCATTATATCGAATCTAAACTAGTTTTAGTATTTACAATACATAAAAATATTAATACTATACATATATTAATATGTACATATATTTAAAATTTAAAATTAATTTAAATATGCCCTATCCCATTTTATATAGCATTTTCAATATAACGAAAGAAAAAAATCGAAATATTTTATAATAATATATTATAATTCTTATCAAACTACGCGCAAATACTAGCCTATAAAGATAGATATCTACTTTAAAGCATTTTACGTAGAATATATAGCTAAAGCTTATCAGTGACCATGCAACCAAATTATTCTAGATCCTTACCAAACTAAGGGTATAAAAACTACATATGTACAACAAAAACGTACCTTTGGAAGGTTTGTCGCTTCACGTAGTTGTCTCTCACGAACTCAACTATCTGTTTTTGTGTTTTACCGCTGTACCTGTACACGTGTAGTAATACTAATATTATTATTTTTCTGCAATCATCCTTGTGGCGGAAACACTGACAATTAGTACATAATATTATATCACTCGGTGCATTGACCAAAAATATATATATATTTTTTATTATTTTTTACTAGCGAATTATTCTCGCTTCGCAGGGTTGCGTCTCTAAGTTTGAATAGTGTAGGAACGCATAAAAGACAAACATTCAAAGAAAAATTCTTATTTTTGTAACAAGAACCTTCACAGGCGTATACAGCATCAACCACTAGAGTTTCATCACATTCAGATCAATGGCTTAAGACCTAATAGAGGACAAACAAACGAACATTCATTTTTATATAGTCAACTAGCAGAACCCGCGGCTTCGCTCGCGCTTAAACTACAAATAAAATCTCTAAAAAGGTAGGTTTCATACAAACTTTCATCCCCTATTTTACCCTCTTAGGGGTTAAATTTTGGAAAACGTTGAAATACCTAGCTCATTATTTTTGCCGTACTCAATTCATACGAAATTTCATGAAAATATGTCCAAGGAATAGTGATATATATATATATTATACATAGTTATATATAATAAGAAAAGTTTCATACAAACTTTTATCCCATAAGTAAGTTTTTGCGGTTGGACCCATTTTGTTTAATTACGTGGACGTAATTAATACTAAAGTTACCTAAAAGACGAGCCTCTAGACATGACCCGAGTCTTGTGCCTCGGCAGCCGCGGCACGCTCGAGCATCTGAAGAAGCCGTGGTTTTCCACACACTTCTTCCAGAAGTTCTTGCACTCGTTGCGACCCTCGAAAAAGAACTCCACCACATCTCGATGGTAGCCCTGTAATCGGTCACAGTGTTAGCAATTTCTATTAAATACTAGCAACTCACTCTCGCTTCGCTCGCAACATGATTACCACTTGTCTTACAGTAAAGAAAAACATCGTGAGGAGACCTGCATGTCTGAGAGAATTTAGCAAGCTTTCGTAAGAAATACTCAGTCCGCCCGCACTCCGCCAGCGTGGTGGACTATGGCCTAAACCCTTCGTATTGAAGGAAGGCCCGTGCCCAGCAATGGGACGTTAAAAATGGCTGAATACAATATAAAAATGCACTTACATATCCCTCAGGATGTAATTTGATGAGAAACTTTTTCCTCTTGAAGGATATCTTCCTGATCTTGGCCCAGCTGAAGGTGTTGATCTTGGTGAAGTGCTGGAATACGGCAATGCCCATGTGCGCCACCGCCAGGTTCAGCGGCACGCCCTCGTGGTCCTTCGCTGCGTGCATCTTTATACCTGCAAGTTACAAGATACACGTACCAGTGTAAAATATATTATACATATCTATACATATAATAAAATTGTAACTAAGCCGAATCTGTACATTAGATATTTTTTGGAAAATCTTATTGAAATAAACATTATTATCGATACTTTTAATTAATATATTTATAAATTAAAGTAATATTATATTCTTTCGCATTTTCTTAATATTAATTCCCTTTATTACATCTTTATTTATTTTTTCTTTATAATAATAAAATCTGTCAGCTATTTTTATTTAATAATATTAATTTACTAATCACTCTATATTTGTATACTATTGTATACTAATTATTTTAAAACATTATTCTTTGCCTTCATGTTTTATAATTCTAAGATACTCTATCTATTATTTCCTAATCTGAGCTTAATCAATACGACAACACCGTCAATTTATCAAAACAATCTATACAACAATAACAATCGACTTAGTTACTAGGATACTTTAAACATAGTAATATTACCGTATAGTTCGCATCTCCGCGCCGTCTCTAACAAATTCAGATCCGCCTCCGCAGGGCTCTGGCCGCTGAAACCGGATTTACATAACGTTATCTCATTATAAAATTCATTATTCCGAACATACACGTGCCGAGATGCTTGAAAATATTACAATAGAATTTTCATACTCTCTCGCAAGCTTTTGCATCTTATAAATAAAACTACTTTTAAATGGATTAATGCATGTACGATGTTATTCTTTTCAAGTATCCAACTTGAAAAGAGTAATATTGTATAATACTTTCTTAGATTTACGCGAATATTTGACATCTATATTCTATACTAATATTATAAAGAGGTAAAGTTTGTGAGTTTGTGACGTTGTAGGGGGTAATCTCTGGATGTACTGAACCGATTGAGATGAAATTTGGTAAGAATATAGTTTGAGACCCTGGGATGGACATAGGATTTTTTATCCAGGAAATCACCTCCTAAGGGCGTGAAAATGGGGATGAAAGTTTGTATTCGGATTTTTTTACGGATTTAGTGATAAGGATTGCTGTAAAGCATTCGAAACGTCGGGAGCCAAAAATGAAAATAAATCCGCGAAAAAATCCGAAAAGATAGTTAGGTACATTTAAAAATAATATTGCAATTTAATATTGCGGCCATTTAAGAAGTACTTTTAAGAATGGAAAATGATTTAAAAAAAAAGACACGGAAACATAGAGAAAGAGGGAGAAATATTTTTTTCTACAGGGATTTCAATGTTGTTAATTGATTTTTGTTTTTATCGTCTTTTTGTTTTGTTTTTGTTATACCTACATATATTTAGATTCTAGTTTATTTAACGAGTCTGTGCATACCTTTATAAGCATATTTTAATTTAGTAATGCATATAGGTTATACATTATTTTGACCTCGGGGCTTCGATGAGCTTTATCAAAGGGTAGTACAATGTAGGGAGCTCAAGCGTTATCTTTGGATACACTCTCGAATGACCCTTGAAAGGTGATCAACAGCTTTCAAGTGGCAATAGATAATTAGACAACAATATTAAAAGCAATTTTATGGTTAACATTTCTTATTATAAACGTTTTTCTGAAACATTTTATTATATTGTAATTCTAATATTATAAAGAGGAAAAAATTGTTTTTTTTTTGTTTGTTTATATCGAATAGGCTCCTAAGCTACAGAACCAATTTAGATGCTATTTGGCAAGAAGATTGTTTGAGACCCTGGAAAGGAGATGGGATAGTTTTTATCCCGGAAATCATCCCTTATGGGAGTGAAAGTTTGTATGAGGAAGCAACCTAGGGACGTACCCGAGCAAAGCGAGGGTGAGCGCGTGCTAGTATTGTATAAACTTCACCCCGTTACATGTATTTTATCACTGAGTTTATTTTCATCATAAATTTTTATATTTCAATACTTTGAAATATTATAATACAAAAAATTTAAATCCTTAACAGCAAATAGGGAATGCGTGTTTTTTTTTTTGTATTTTTTATACAATAGCTAACATCGTTATATAATTGTAAAAAAAATATCCTGCTCAAAAAAAAAATCCAGTATAAAAAAAAATTAAAACATATACCGATACACCATTTCGCGCGCTTGGCGTGACGTCAAAGTATCACATAGGAAAATGACGACTTTAGTTAGTAGCAACAAAATTGCTACTCGCGCTGGTATGATATACTCTACGTGATATTCAATGGCGTGACCAATGGCGTGCATTTCAAGAATTTGCCATCTATATTTTCACTTTTAATAATTACCTATTTTCTTAATCAAAAAGAAATTACATTAAAAAATATTGATATAGGCTTAATTCAAAAGCAATAAAGATTATTAAAAAAAAACACCTTTAAATCACAAACGCATATTTCCTATTAACCCTTAATAATGATAGCTAAATATAGAATATAATACAATTTACAACAAACCCCTATCTATACATACATGTGCTTTTTGTGATTTTCCATAATCCGCCGTTCCGACTCGGAGTCCTGTCCGGGGAAGAACTTGTACCCGCTGAGGTATGTGTGGTCGGGGTAGTCTTCCGGCACAAAATCCCCACATTCGGCTAACAAGTAAATATAATACGTGTTTTAGTACATAATGTCTCACTTTTTTCACAAAAATATGGTAAAATAATTGAAACTCATTTAATTAAAATTGATGTATTATTATTGTTGTACAAACAAACAACACAACACAAATTTCCCAAGACAAAATGTATAGAGAAAATGCTGAAATGGATATATAAAATATTCCAAATAACGCTTGCTTACATTCATCATATAAATAAATGGACGCAACAACTAGACACGGAAAGTCATTTATTTTTCACATTTCACGATAGGAAAGGCACCGCTAGCTATCAAATATAAGTGTTCTTGGCAAAGGCATTGTCATATGAAGAAATAAACAATATTTATTATATAACAATATTACATAACCGCAGCAGGAAATCGTCTTTATTAATAAATACAGTAATTTCTTAAGCGAATCTGACCGTTCACTGTTCAATCTATGAAAATTACTCCCCAGAGCTCTATCAGCGTTTCTAATTCTACTGAAGCACTAGACGTAATGTCTGCTTTATAAGAGTGTGTAAAATGGGACCGCTAGTTGCATATTTCGTTTTAGAAATAATAAAGTGACTAAAATTAAAGTTAGCCTACTTTAAGTACTACTTTAAGTATTGCCTTTAAGTTCAATTTCCATTGTTGTATATTTATATCAACTAGAATAATTACCTTAACACATTTGGTGACAGTTTTAAGAGAACTTTCGCATGGGATTGTATGAATAAATCTTTCTACTGTTAACAACAAAAAAACTACATAACGTAACCTTTACTCTTAAGCAACCTATCAACACAAGAATTCTCAATCGGTCGGATAGTTACTTCGATTAACATGTTCAAGAATACAGGCTCAGTTCAGATTCGAAATATTATACCTATAGAATACGAAAGGATACAGAAATCGTGGTTATTATTAAAATGTTAGCACCGAGACAATTTTTTTTAATACTACTAAATTGCATTGCAATTGCAAGTGGTAAAGGAAGGTATACATTAAAGGCTAAATATAATATTTTCCATTTTTAATAGCATTTCCTTTAAATAGACCTAATGGAGCACTGTGCATAATTGATGACCACCGTTGAAGGTCGGCCACAGTATGGATCTGTCGTTTAGTTATAAGCCATAGAAGAATATTTTAAACAAATATTTGCAAACCAAAAGCAAAATTACGCTAATTCCAGTAATTTCATCAGTGTAAAATACAATTTTTCCTCAATTCCTAATTGTTTTCCGTAACAAGAAACTGATGATACATTCAAATAAATATATTTATATACTTATACAAGTAATGCAATGCATTATAAGCAAATTGTTATGCAGTTTTCAAATATACTCGTTGAAAAATGCTGTACAAAATCTGTTAAATTTAAATTGAATGTAAATAACAATATAATAGTTGAATATCTCCGAGTTCTTCTTTCGCGCAGCGACGGGGCAAATGATAGACGTGACTTTTTCATAGAATTAATTACCTTTATGACAAATCGAACGAAGGCTTCTATCTCAATAAATCAAGTAACTACAGTGGATAAGCAGTTTGCTCTGCAATTAAGATGCGAATCATTACTGTGAAAAATAACTCAGAAATATACAATGTATGTATGTATTCAGCCCTTTTTAACGTCTCACTGCTGGGTACGGGCCTCTCTTTAGTCGTACGAGGGAACTCAGGCTACAGTCCACCACGCTGTCCAAGTGCGGGTTGGCGGACTTCACATGTCTTTTGAAAACTTGCTAGGTTCTCTCAGACATGCAAGTTTCCTCACGATGTTTTCCTTCACCGTGAGACAAGAGGTAATCATATTGAATCAAATAAGTACTAGATACACAATCAGCGACAAAAAATGTCCTCACCGAATGAGCGGTCATTATAACATTTGAGCGCGAAAATATCAGAGGTGCGAGACCCGGGATTTGAACTCGCTTCACTCGGTTTACCAAGCGAGCGCATTACCACTGGGCCACCACTGCCTTAGTATATACAATGTAAGTGATATTATACCTGTTAAAGATAGTTAAAAAGAACGAAATAATATGAAAATCACAAGAATGCAATCTCATAAAATAAATGTATCTCGTTGGCCGGCGAGCGTCACGAGACATCATTGCCTGATGACGCAACAACAAATCCTGACAGCGATTTATAACATCCTGAGAACGAGGACGTTCGTAAAGGATCATTTAGCATTTTCCTACAAACAACCTCTAGCATTTGTAACCTTGTAAGTGTAAAAAAATATACAAAAATATACTAATATTTACTGCGCTTTCCGAGTAACAAAAGGAATTTCAACATTTTTTTATGTAAATGTAAATTAGGTCGTGCGCGTTTATTATCACTGTAATATAAAATTAACCCTAGTAATATAATTATTATTGCTGGTAAACATTAATTTAGGGCTTAGCCTAATGCTCAATCCCTGCACGACCGCGGACACGCCGGCGTTACAGTTAACAATAGATTTCTTAGAAATTTAATTAATGTCTTAGAAATTCACCTGGATGCGTTAATTAAAAGAATTAATATTTAATAACAATTTCTTTTAGTCGCTCTTAAAATTTTAATTTATGACACCTGTAACTAGGTAATTTACGTATTTTTTATTAAAGACTCAATTCCTCGAGAATGAGTCTCTATATAACTTTTTCATGTTCTCATCAGAAAAACCCAATAACTATACTTGACCCGACACAGGAGTCGAACTTCAACTCTGCGGCCATAGTTTTCAGACGAATTCTTGGCGAAAAAACCCGTGGTTGTTTCATTCATAGCTGTTATACATACTTTGTCGTTTCGATCATACATAAAACAAACAAACAAACACAAACCCCTTTTGTAACATCATTTAATAAATAAATGCAAGTAAATGTTGACGGTAAACTTCGTAGATATATCACGACACATTTTGTGTTTACAATAAATATGAAATCATTTTGAAATAGACTCATCAATCAATAGCGGGCGACGGCTCATTAGGGGGCAACTTTGTTACCGGTCGTGCGTGTAGAGCTTCAATTGCTCTATTTGACACCGTGTGAACACGGCCAATTGAATGAGAATAAATAATTAGGTATACTTCATTGTAACATTGTAATCTTACTTCTATCTCTGAATTATTACAATCGACTTAAGCACATTTTTAGATCAATAAAATTAACTATATTTGTATAATACTTTCTTAGATTTACGCGAATATTTGACATTTTAAATAAAACCACCTTTTTGGGTTATATCGCGGATTTATTTAGATTTTTTTGAGACGTCTAAAACCTTAGTCTCTCCCGTGACCATGATTGCTGTAAAGCATTCTAAACGTCGGGAACCAAAAATCTAAATGTGCAAAATAATCCGAAAAGATAGTTTTATCTGTACATATAATAAAATTTTAACTAAGTCGAATCTGTACATTAAATATTTTTTGGAAAATCTTATTGAAATAGACATACATTATTATCGATACAGGGGCCGAAGCTATAGTTTTTAGAATTTTTGTCTGTCTATCTGTTACCGCATGACAGAAAAACCACTGGAGGGATTTTTATGAAATTTGGTATGGTGATAGCTGGTTATCCGGGTCAACATAATATAGGATACTTTTTACCTCGGGAAAATATCTCATATCTGAGAAAAAATACAAAAACTGCATTGTAAGAGTATACTAATATGTAAAACCTAAGAATTTGATTTTTGGTCATCTAAACAATGTAATAAAAAAAATGCTAGTTTAAAATATGTTTCATAGTCTCATTCTGAATGGGATTGTAATAACTAATAATATTTATCCATTGCTTAGTCTAAAACCCACCGAATACATGGCGACAAACATTTTCTTTTACGCTTGATAATGTCGTGTTTCCTTTATAGCTAAACAAAGACAACATAAATCATCATCTCACTACGTTCAACATTATTCAATTGCTACTCAATTGGTATAAAAAATCAACACGACAAGAGAATGATTATTCTAAATCACTAACTGAAAGCCAGTGATGACGATTAGAATACGAACATAACAAAACTAACTATAACAAAGTTTGTTTATAAGAAAAGTTCAAGATGGCTTCGTGTTTAACTTGCCCACTGTTCAATTATTATACGACAACAAACGACCTCTATTGTAGTCCACCTATACCTGTATGTACTAAAATAGTGTCTACGCATTCAATTTATCCGCATAATAGGCCCCTAAGTAGAGGCCCCCTTGGAAAAACCCCCTGTGAATGCTAGTGCGCTTTCGTATAGTTTTTCTAGAGCCATTCTTAGAACATCTCGAAAGTAATCCGTAAAGTATATTATATAAAGCTCGTTTTCTTTCCAGTATATGCGTAAAGTTTTCAAGTACAGAACCCGAATTTAGACGGTGAATGTAATTGGTATGTATAAACTGTATCTGGGCAAGTTCACAGCGTTTTATTTGAAAGCCAATCAAATATACTCGTATATGAATACCACTAGAAGTCGCTTGCACATAAAGTTGATGTAAGATTCATTCAAATATTTATTTATTTTAGTAATATAATACATTACTCTGATAAACAAATATGTATGTATTTATATAAAGACCTCTAGGTCATAGCTGATCTTTTTGAATTACCGTTTCATTCACCAAAAATCAAATCCTAGACTTAATCGTATAAATACGATAAGATCCATAATATATCGTCAAATAAAGCTAATTTTCAGATTACACACATATACACAAACTTTCTATTGCGTTTATATTGGTATAATGCAAGATATGATTAAAAAAAGTTGAGGACTGCCGACAGAAGTGTTAACTTAAAACTATAAACAAACTGTTGTTATTTTTGGATATTCAAATTAATTGTTTGATCTTAAATTAAAAGTAAATTACAACTGTTTACATTTATCTGGTTTTGACATCTATCAGCACTCTAGAGTGTTAGCGTTAACACGTCACGTGACCATATCGATGACGACTTACATAAATTTACTCCCCATCTAAACCTGCCTATAGAAGTTTTCACTTTAAAAATCTGGTATATTATAATAATACACATTGTGTAAATTTTACCTAACTGGCATAGAATGGCGTAGGCAATATTTTGTCTATTAGTACAACCAACATAACCACATTCAGTCAAATCTGTGGTTCAGATACGTACATAGTGTGTCTACAGATTACATCTAACCGCAAAACCTCGTCAAACAATATGACGTTTTGAAAGTACTAGCCACTATAATTTCGTGATCTTTTATGTTGTAAAATAAAAATTTAAAACATTACTCTAGAAAGACTATAAAAAATGCTAGCACTAACATATAAATATAGTTAACTTTAAAGAAATGAGAAAGGTGAGCTATTCCCGAAAGAAAAAATCTGACAAAATAGCTTAAATATGAATGTATGTTTTTATGTATGCATGTTTGTTTGTGAAATATATGTATGTATGTAATAAATATGTCGTCCGCTAACCCGCACCGTCCGCCAACCCGCACTTGGCCAGCGTGGTGGACTATGGCCTGATCCCCCTCGTATTGAAGGGAGGCCCGAGCCCAGCAGTGGGACATTAAAAAGGGCTGAATACATGTAAATCTGTATATATGTACATGTAGTACATAATTTTAATTTATTGGTGTGTGAGTAATCATTATGCATAGTGCATACCTAACCTAATCATCTTCGCTTTAATATTTTTACGGTTGTGGGTGCTTGTAAAACTATATTAGTGATAAGATCGCCATTGCCATGACATTGAATTGTTTATTTTAATAAGAAATAAAAAAATATATGAGATTTTCATTATATTATTGTTACCTCTTGTACGATTAAAAATTTAAACTTACCTACTTCATTGATAATGATAAAAACTTAGTTAATTTTCGAAAGCTAACTTGATAGTGACTTCAACATCAATTTAAACATAACTACCAACTCTTAGTGGTAAATATTTTCTTGAAATGTTTACTGGGACACGGCATTGTCTTATAGTATATAGATAACCGGTTCAAAATTGTCTAAGACATCACATACAATGGACATAAAAAAAAACCTCGCTTGAATCGGTCCATAAGTCAAAACTTACCTTGTACAATATAACTAGCCATCAAGGCGGCTGTGTTCTCGTTGCACTGTATACATCCCTGCGCCAGATCCCGTTTCACTTGCAAGCAGAACAGATAGCGAGTGAACTCCTCCTCGAGCCGCGCCGGGTCCGGTGTGTAGAACTTGACGCAAAACCGCAAAGTCGGCTCCAACATTGACAGGCCCACTTGACGGCACATCGGCTTTTCGACGTCCAACCAGTACTAAAAGAAAAAAGTCTTATGATTTATAGATAGCTACTAGCTGACCCGAGAGTTGTTGTTCTGGTCAAATTTAAACTTTGTTGTCATATTTTAGTTTATACAAAAATCATATACAAAAAAAGTACGTAAGTAGTAAGAATTTCCCAATTAATATATTTATCCGACTTAAAAATTTTGGATTGTTTTTTGTCTGGTACACTAAATAAATATATAAAGGATCTCGAAAACAGCATACCCATCTATATGTTCTAACTATAGCTTAGAACCATCCAAATGATCCTAAAACACAAAAAATAATATCGTTATCGGTCAAGCCTTTTAGGAGGAAAAGAATTACCAATTCACACTGAAATTATTTATATAAATATAATAATAATAACCCCACTAAATGACAAAAAAAATCACTTTACGAGAGAATCGAACCGACTATCTTGCTTAGTACGCACTAAGAAGCTAAATAAAGTAGCATAAACGAGTAACCGTATATGTCATTCTGTTGCAGTGCGTGTTTGGAACAAACTACAGTATAATATTTTTTCCGACAATCCGAACCTTGATGTACCTACTTAAGTCCAGACTGAAAACGCAGCTTTTCCTTTTCGCCGTAAAGTAAATTACATAAAAAACGTTTAACAACAAGATTATAATATATATTATAAGTATTGCCTTATTCTGTTCGATTAGGTATTACTTGTACTTTTACATAATAATCTTATAAAAGGTGACTTCTGAAAGAAATATATTATAAGAATTAAATCGTCCTGTCAACACATTTTTTTAAGTACATATATAAAAAAAAGAATATTACCTACCATAACTAAATAAATTATTAACTAAAAAAGTTAAAAACAAATGATAAAATAAATAGTTTGAATTATAAAATTTAAAAAATTATAAAATTATTTCATTAATACCGAATTCGATTCTCGCAAGTAAATGTCTATAATGTTGACACAAACGTTAATCAACGAGTAAATCGTTTCAGACGCAACAACATACAGCATAGAGATAGGCAATTAATTAGGCGGGCTTGTACTCGTAGAACAAAAGCTCCAGTACGTTCTCTCTGCCATATTCCATATCACAGTAAGGATAAAGTACATTACCGGTGGTAGGACTCTTCACCGGTGGTAGGACTCTGTCAAGCCTGAAGAGTCTGACTGGATGGGTACCACCCCCTTATCTATTTCTCCCGCCAAGCAACAATGATTACATTGTTGTGTTCAGGTTTGAAGGATAAGGTAGCCAGCGCAATTACAGGCAAGAGGCATATCATCTCAGTCCTCACAGTGACAACTCACCTGCGGTTCTGCATTTTTGTTACATAAAACCTAAGTGCACGAACCGTAGGTGTTATGGGCGACAGGTACTGCTTTCCATCAGGTGGTCTGTCTGCTCGTTTGTCACTGAACCCCATAAAAAAAACATAGATAAATAATAATCTGAGAAATAATTATTAACTAACCTTAGTTCCATTAGCATCTTGATATTCAAGTCCAAAGTAGTCTGCTTCCAAGAGGTGCAACTGTCGACAGACTTGATCAAAAAGCACTCGTCCCAATGCTTTCGACTGAAACAAAGAAAAAAATCAGTTTTTAAACAATAATTTTACTAGTATTATAAATGTGAAAGTTTAGGATTTTGGATGTTTGTTACTCAATAACGCCAGAACGCCTGAACGGATCTGAATGAAATTTGGCACAGAGATAGATTATAGTGTGGATAGTACCCAGGCTACTTTTTGTCCCAGAAAATGTACAGTTCCCATGAGATAGATTTGTTTTTGTTCTTCTTCTTTTGTTATAATATAAGTTTCTTTCATATATTTTAGTAGCTTTTGGCCAAGATTCCGTTTACGTAGTTTAATCATATTTATTTATATAGTACATACTCTAACTTATATAATAATAATAATAATAATTTGAGCAATTAAGAAAGGATATAGGTAGGTTAACACAATATAAAAATGGAAATAAAAGTAAAAAAGTAGTTAATAAAGTAAAAGAAATTTTAGAGAAAACAAGAAAGCATAGCACACACGACGATTTTAATAAACGATTAGAAGAATATTTGGACACTTTAAAACAAAAACTTTCAGTTAAAAGTCATAGGCTAGCGAGATACAATAAAGCACAAGTTAGAAAAGAAAACAATAAACTTTTTGCTAATAATGAGAAACAATTTTACCGTAAACTAAAATGCAGTACAAAAATCGAACACGCACCATCGGTAGAAGCTTTAAAAGAATATTGGGAAAATATATGGAGTAATAACACAGAACACAATAAAGACGCTGAGTGGATCTCGAGAGAAAAATTACGTTATGGAACAATTAACGAAATGGAGTTTGAGGATATTGAAGTAGATGAACTTAAAAATATTATTAGTAATACACATAGCTGGAAAGCACCAGGAGCAGATTATGTTCAGAACTTTTGGTATAAAAAACTACACATACTACATCATGCCTTAGCGAAACAGATTACAAATATTATAAAAGGAAATAGTATACTACCAGAATTTTTAACTGAAGGAATCACCTATATGTTACCAAAAAGTAATCGAACTCACGATCCATCTCAGTATAGACCAATAACTTGCCTCCCAACAATTTATAAGATTATAACTTCATGCATAACATATAAAATTAATAAACATTTAGAAATTAATAAAATATTAACAGAAGAACAAAAAGGTTGCAAAAAGTTACATAAAGGTTGCAAAGAACAATTGATTATTGATTCTGTTGTACTTAAGCATGTTCAAAAAGGTAGAAAAGATCTTTTTATATCATACATAGATTATAAAAAGGCATTTGATAGTGTTCCCCACTCCTGGCTAATTGAAATATTAAATATATACAAAATTCATCCAATTTTAATAACATTTCTTAAAAACACTATGCAAAACTGGAGAACTACTCTTCATTTACGGACAGACTCGAAAGATATTAATACTAGTAAAATAAATATAAAAAGAGGCATATTTCAGGGTGATTCGTTAAGTCCTTTATGGTTTTGTTTAGCTCTTAATCCCCTATCGAACGAATTAATTGACTCTAAAATAGGTTTTGATATAAAAAACAATAGAAAGAAACTTCATCAATTAACTCATTTATTATATATGGATGATTTGAAATTATATTCGAATAAAGAAACTAATATGATACAACTACTAGATATAACTTTAAAATTTTCTAAAGATATAAAAATGGATTTCGGGTTAGATAAATGTAAAAAATTAAATATAGTAAAAGGTAAAATAGTTACAGGTGATTATAATATTAATGAACAAGATAGTATTACAGCAATGAAAGATAACGAACTATATAAATATTTAGGGTATCATCAAGCACGTTTATTAGAACATAAATCAATCAGAGATAGATTACAGCTAGAATATTTTAACAGGATACGTTTACTTAGTAAAACCCAATTATGTAGCAAAAACTTATTTAAAGCAATTAATACCTACGCAATACCTGTTTTAACGTATTCGTTTGGAATCGTTAAATGGTCAAATACAGCTTTAAAAAGCTTAGAAACTAAGACAAGAACAATTTTAACACAGCATAGATATCATCATCCTAAATCCGCAATAGAACGTATAACTTTACCTAGAAAATATGGAGGAAGAGGCCTCATCGATATTACACAGCTTTATACTAAACAAGTATCAAATTTAAGAAAACATTTCTATGAAAAGAAAATTACAAGTAAGTTACATGAAACTATAATTGAAATAGATAGATGCTTCACGCCACTTAATCTTAACAATGAAACTACTGAACCGATTCTCAATACACAAGAAATTGAAGTTAAAATTAAAAACTGGAAAACAAAAGAATTGCACGGCAGACATCCAAAAGAATTAGAACAATCACATGTAAATAAAGAAGCATCTCACAAATGGCTTGATTGCGGAGGTTTATTTCCAGAGACTGAAGGATTCTTAATGGCCATCCAAGATCAAGTCATATCAACTAAAAATTACAGAAAATACATTTTGAAAGACAGAACAGTACAAAACGATCTATGCCGTAAATGCCACCTTAAACCAGAAACTATCCAGCATATAACAGGAACATGCGCAACACTAACACAAAATGACTACACACACAGGCATAACCAATTGGCTAATATTATACATCAAAAACTTGTTCAAAAATACAAACTCACTAATGATCCGCATACACCCTACTATAAATATACACCACAATCTGTATTAGAAACCAGACATATAAAATATATTATGATAGGACTATTTTAACAGATCACACAATTTATAACAATAGACCTGATATAACCTTTGTAGATAAGAATAATAAACATACATATATAATAGATATAGCAGTACCTAACACTAATAACTTACAAGCAACAATCAGTGAAAAAATAAGAAAATACACAGAGTTACAAGAAGAAATTAGGAGAGTTTGGAAAATGACGAATGTTACAATAGTACCCATAATAGTGTCCACAACAGGCGTTGTTCCGAAACTTTTATTTAATTCTTTAAGCATTCTTTCTTTGCCTAAATTCACATATTTAACTCTTCAGAAAGCTGCTATTTTAAACACCTGCAGAACAGTAAGAAAATTTTTGCAACTTTCTTCAGATAATGATGACAACACAGTACAACAAACCACCCAGAACTGATTCAGCACTTGGTTCACGCCCGTGCTGGATCATATTACCAGGCACAGTCTGAGATATCAAATTTGATATAAATAAATAATAATAATAATAAATACTCTTTATTGTACACCCACTAGAGAAAAAAGAAAGAAAAATACAAGAAATATATAAAAAGAGTTATGTACACGAGGCGGCCTTATCGCTAAAACAGCGATCTCTTCCAGGCAACCTTAAGGTGTTGGAATTGACAAACTGTAAGAGGGAAGGGGTGTGAACTATATAGTAGTAATAATAATAATAATAAAACCATAATAATAATAATACAATAATAACAATAATTCATTTTTAATACTATGAATAAACTTACATATCAAAAATACATACATATGTACATAATAATAATATTATATTTACATAAATATGATAAGATTAATACAAGACAAAATACTTATAATAATAATAATATTTAATATATTATGGGTACATAAATATATAAATAATATTATATCATATTAAATAGATAATAATAGAACTTATAAGTAAAATGGCATTAAAAAAAGACAAACAAAGATGGTAAAAAGAATATGGTTTAAAAAGAGTGAAAATGCAGTTTTAAACGGTTTTTAAAAGTATTATACGTTTTGGCGCCTCTTACGCTCAAAGGGAGGGAATTCCAAAGTCGTGAGGCTGTAACACAGAATGATTTATCACTAAATGAAGTGGAATGAGGAGGTATTTTTAAAATTAAATTTTGACAGGAGCGCAAGTTTCTCGAATGAGAAAGACCCAGAAATTTAAATTTATCTTTTAAATAGGGAGGAGAAGATGGATCAAACAGAACACGGTAAAGAAGATGAAGGACATGCGTATTCCTGCGAAGGCGAATAGGGAGCCACTTGAGCTTTCTGCGAAATTCAGAAATGTGGTCATATTTTCGAAACCCAAATATGAACCGTATACATAAATTTTGAAGCCGCTCAAGCTTATTTAATTGCTCCTCTCTTAGATCAAGATAACAAGAGTCAGCATAATCAAGGATAGGTAGTAGGAGAGATTGTGCTAGCGCAATTTTAGTAGGAATGGGGAGAAAGTTGCGTAACCGACGAAGTGATGCTACGGATGCAAACATTTTCCTGATCGTCTCACCTAACTGCGGAGCCCAGGACATATTCTGGTCCATAATCACGCCTAGGTTCTTGACAGTGTCACTATAAGGTATAATTATGCCATTTAATAGAATAGATGGTAATGATAACGACGCGACCCTAGCAATGAGTTTCGAGCTACCAATAATTATACTTTGAGTTTTTGCCGGATTAAGATGGAGTCCAAAAGATCTACTCCATGAGGCTATACTCCTTAAATCTTCGTTCATTTTATCAATCGCTCTCGGTAATTCAGTAATTTTCGCGTGAATATAAATCTGTAGATCATCTGCATACAGGTGGTAGTGAGAAGAAATGTGATGACATAATGTATTAATAAATACTGAAAAAAGAAGAGGAGACAACACGCCACCCTGCGGAACACCTGACTTGACTGTTGACCAGTCGGAATACGAATCATGAATCCGTATACGCTGTCGGCGTCCACGCAGGTAAGAAAGAAACCAGTCGACTACTTTAGGAGATATGTTAAGAGAACGTAACGTAGCAAGTAAGATATCAAAATCAACAGTATTAAAGGCATTGCTAAAATCCAGTAAGGTAAGTACTGTGACTTCCTGTTTATCCATGCCTTTGCGAATATCATCAGAGATCTTGACTAAAGCAGTAGTCGTACTATGCCCAGGACGGAAAGCGGATTGTAGAGGATTGAGGAGATTATGAGTAGAAAGGAATTGAATTAGTTGATGGAGTACAAGACGCTCAAGTACTTTGGATAAAAAAGGAAGGATTGAGATAGGACGATAGTCATTATAAAGAACAGGATT